AGCAGGTTAGGTCGAGTAATACCCATTGGGCTAGACAAGTATTCGCTCTATTAGACCATCCACATCCATGAAATAACATTTCTATTTCATATGTGGTCCCTACCGCCACCTCAACCAATTTTACAATTTCACCACTTACCTATTTCATTTCATCTACATCAATGAAATACACTTTCTATTTCATTTGGTGGGCCCAATTGATTATTTTAATACAACTCTATATTTTATCTAAAAAAATAAAAAAGGAAAATAAAGAAATAAGGCAAAACCATAGAAAGGGGCCCACATCTACCCCACTTGCTATTCCATTCAGACTTCCATTAAGTGGAAGCTGTCACTTTATGGAATAACCTCTACAACCATGAAATAATAAATGGAAGTGTCATGTCATCAATGGAATGGCTGCATGACAGCCGATGCAGCTGCTCTTAGAGCCGAATACTTGTCTGGCCCAATCTTGGTACAACTAACACTGGATCCGCCTGGGTTGAAGGTAAGTTCTTTCAAGTGGGCCCTCCGGCCCATGGTCAACGTCCGGAAATGACCTTGGTGGTGAGATTATTTCGAAATTATCTCTCTGCCTAGTTTTTATTCTTGCTTATTGCTTAATGCCTAGAATATATATAAGTCCTTCTGTGGAGGCAGTGGAGTTGTGATGATGAAATGATTTCGACAACATGACAACAATATTTTTTTTTTTTTTTGCATAGCAGGGAGGCCGAGGCCAAGAACAAGAAGGCAGTTACAGAGAGAGGGAATCAAAGAGAAGAAGAGGAGCTCGCAACAATCCGACGCTCAAACGTAATGCCTCTAGCATCATCCTGAAGAAACGAAGTAACACCCTGTGGCGGCTCAGTCAACTCATGTACCCCGTAGGGATAGACGAGACTGTGCTTCGAGAGCCAGTCCGCGACTCTATTCCCTTCGCGGTACGAATGAGTTATACTGACCAGCCAATCTTGACTAATCTTCCTGCGAATGAGGCCCAACAAAGTAGCATAAGGGTGAATGGGGTCGTGACGGTCCTGAATCAGCTGAATAGCCAGCTGAGAGTCCGAAGCAAGCTTGACCACGCGGTGTCCAAGCTTCCAAGCCAGATCCAAACCATGGAAAATGCCCCAAAGTTCCGCCAACGCTGCTGTAGCTGATCCAATCTTCACGACGAAGCCCCCTAGCCACTTCCCCAGCGAATCTCGAATGACCCCCCCAGCTCCGGCCAAACCTGGGTTACCATTGGACGCTCCGTCCGTGTTCACCAAAACCCACCCTTCAGGGGGGGGGGGGGATCCAACCAATGTTCGCCACAACCCTCATTGGCCGCTGCTTCTTGTGGTTAACAAACAAATCCGGGGCGTGCCAAGAATCCGTCCACAACTTACTCTTCGCCATGATCGAGTGAGTGAGGGACGGAGCAGTGAGGGCTGCACCAAGGCCTTTAAACGCAGCTGTCGTACGGTTCTTCCACAGAAGCCAAACAGCAATACTAAAGAAACCTGGCCAGTCAATCCCCGAAGCACTGGAACTCGTGCTCGTGAGGTTACTACGGAACCAAGATTCATGGCTGGCACTGAAGAAGTCGTGTTGATGTTGCTGCGGCACTTGCCTGGACCAAAAAAATAAGGCTGGAGCACAGTCACGCAGTATGTGCAGCGTCGACTCCGGGGAACCAAGGCACCGCTGGCAGTCTGGTGAAGCAGCCACCTTCCGCTGGTGTCGAAGTAAGTTGGTGGCGATCTTCCCCTGAAAAGACAACCAAACAAAACTTCTCACTCTCTCAGGAACCGGCAACTGCCAGATTTTCTTCCAAATCCCATCGCTCTGCTGCTGAACTTGCTTGGTAAGGAGCTCGTAGGCAGAATGGGTGGAGAAGCGGCCGTCCGACGTCTCTGACCAGAGAAGGGAATCTTCCTCCGCCGCCAAAGTATCAACTGCCGTGCTCATGATCTTGTTCTTGATGACCGTAGGAAGAAGCCCGTCGAACAACTCCGTGCGCCAGCTACCATCGTCTCGAACAAAATCAGCAACCACCGCCTCCTCCAAATCGTCCGGGATGACTCCAATCGCTTTCTCTTTGAGAGGAACCTGCAAAATCCAAGGGTCCAACCAGAACTTAGTACGTTTCCCATTTTTAATGTTCCATGTACAGCCTTTCTTAAGAAGATCGGCCGCTTTGGTTAAGCTACGCCAGGTGAAGGAACTTCCCTTTATGTTACGCAGAATATCAAGATTCTGGCGCTGACCCCCGTACTTAGTGAGGAGCAGATGCTGCCAAATGTTCTCTTTGTCTTGGAGAAGCCGCCAACCACCTTTGGCAAGCATGGCAATGTTTGCTTGGCGGGTTGGTCGGATGCCCACTCCCCCCTGAGACTTAGAAGTCGTCAGCCTTTCCCAAGAAACCAGGTGGAGCTTTCGTTGGTTCTCCTCGTCCCCCCAGATGAAGTCCCTGCTGATTTTATCAATGCTCCTGCACACTCCACTTGGCATCAGCTCAGTATGCATAGTATAAACCGGTAGAGAGGCAGTTACCGATTTAGCTACAGTAAGCCGGGCTGCAAAGGAGAGTCTTTTAGCCTTCCAGGGAGCCATCTTCTTTTGGATGCGGAGGATGAGCGATTGGTATCTCCCTTTCGTGACCCTTTCTTGGATAGCCTGAATCCCGAGATATCTCCCAAGCCCAGCTTTCAAAGGAATCCCTGCACACGTACTCAGGTACTCCGCCTTGTGCCGACCCACATTCGGAGACACGTACAGAATGGATTTGCTGTAGTTGACCCGTTGACCTGAGCTGTAGCAGAAATCAGCTAGGCATTGCTTCACAATCCGTATTTGTCTTATACCTGCCTCTGCAAAAAGCAACAAATCATCTGCAAAAAAGAGATGGGTAAGAGGCGGACCCGAGTTGGTAAGCCTGATGGCTTTCCATTGTCCGTTGTCCACCGCCTCATCAATTTTATGAGATAAGCGCTCCATACATAAGACAAAAAGATAAGGAGAAAGAGGATCTCCCTGCCGGACACCACGAGTCGGAGTGATCGGTTGAGACAGCTCCCCGTTCCACCTGATCCTCATAGAGTTGTTTTCAACACAATACATAATGCAGTTGACCCAGCTACTCGGTAGGCCGACTTCCTTAAGAGTATCACGAAGAAAATCCCACCGCAGCATATCGTAGGCCTTCTCGAGATCGATTTTGAAGATCATTCCCCCTTTCTTCCCTCTCTTCTTTCTGAAAGAGTGCAACACCTCCTGGACCACAATAATGTTGTCGGACGTTTGCCTGCCAGGAATGAAGCTGCTTTGTCTTGGGGATACCAGCTTCCTCATGATGGGTTTAAGCCTAGCAGTCATGGCCTTCGTAATGCTCTTGAGACAGACATTGTTGAGCGAAATAGGCCGCAACTGATTAACCCTCTCCGGTTTATCAACTTTAGGGATAAGCACAAGAGTTGAGTCTGTCACCCCCTCCGGTAAAACCCCAGTCGAGAAAAAAGAGATCGCCATGTCAGAGAGAGACCTCCCCACCACCTGCCAGAACTGCTGATAGAAAGCCGCATGAAATCCGTCTGGACCCGGAGCTTGAAACGGCTTCATATCAAAAACCGCACTGTGGATATCCATGGTGGTGAAGGGTCTGAAAAGCGCTGCTGCCTCCGCTTGGCTTAGCCGAGGAAATGAGTTTCTTGGTAACCTGTCCTCATAGGTAGAGTCATCCTGCAAGAAGATGTTAGAGATAGAGTTGAACACCAACATAGCAAGAGAGGCAGGATCATCAACCCAGACATCATTATTATCTAGCAGAGCTTCAATTTTGTTTGCCCGTCTCCTGATGTTGACCTGCTGGTGGAAATAAGCCGTGTTTCTTTCCCCGAACTTAACCCACTTGTCTCTCGAGCGCTGGTACCATATAAGCTCTTCTTGCTCAAGAATCTTATCTAACTCACTTTCCAACTTAGAATGGAGCTTGGCCAGACCCGGAGAGAAAGAGTTGGCCAGTCTTGATTCCACTCCCTTAATCCGAGCTAACAACCTCCGCTTTTTCTGCTTCACATCCCCAAAGACAGCCCCATTCCACTCCTCAAGCTTGCCAGCCAGACTGTGTAAAGCCTCCTGAAGAGGAGCATCCTTATCCCATGAGTCAACAATCACATCCTTCAAGCTCTCGCTCGTAAGCCAGGCGGCTTCGAATCTGAAAGACCGAGCCATCTGCTGCTGCTGGGACTGCAACTCCACAGTGGTAATAATAGGATTATGATCCGACTGGTGGCGTGGGAGATGTACCACCGTCGTATTAGGAAAAGCCGAGTTCCACCGGGTGTTGCAGAGGCTCCTATCCAGACGACTAGCTCTAAAGGTGTGAGCTTGGTCGCCTCGAGCCCAAGTGAACTTGGGGCCGGAAAAGCCAAGATCGATCAATTCCGCCAAATTCATTCTCTCCACGAACAGCTGACAATTCCTAAGAGTGTTGCTTGTAGGGAGGCCCGATTTCTCGTCCAAACTACTGATCGCATTGAAATCCCCTGTCAATAGCCAAGGAACCTCAATGTCCTTGCTCTGCTCAATGATCCTGTCCCAAAGATCCCGCTGTTCCTGCTGTCGGGGGGAAGCATAAATCGCCGTCAGCATCCAAGGCGCCTCGTTGCTTCTGGAAACTTTGAGAGAAAGATGTTGAAAGCAAGCAGTGACAGGCTGCACCGAGAACTGAGCAGCATCCCAAAAAACCCACAGCCCACCTCGACGTCCCTCCGCCTCGACCCGAATCGAGTTTGGGAAACCCAACTTATCACAGACTGCGTTGGCCGAGTCGCCACTGATCTGAGGCTCCAGCAGCACCACGAAATCAGGTCGATGGTCTTGAACAGCCAATCTCAGCGCCCGGAAGAACTCCCGACTTCCTGCGCCACCAACATTCCAAGAGAAAATTTTTAAATTGGAGTTCATAGGCATACCAAAAAAGGAGCAGCAAAAAGGCAGAGATCGAAAGAGAAGGAGGGTCCCCCGCGTCAGGACGTTGGTGACGATTCGTCGATAAGCCTAGCCATCGCCTGCGGGTTCGCCGCCTCATCAGTTTGTTCCGTCTCTCCAGTTGTCCCCGCCGGACGCTTAGCAGCCTCGGTCCAGGCATTAATTTCCTGGAGGGTCAGCGAAGCAATGCGAGCCTTTGTTTTGGTCTTCTTCACAGGGGACCAAATCTGCAGGGGCTTCAATTGGTTAAACTTGTTGGGTGACTTTTTGTTTTGAGTCTTTTTAATCTTGCTCCGCTTAGTCCTAGCCGCCACTGAGGGAGACGAGCAGCTCGCGGCGCCATTTCCTCCTGCCGGTTGAATGTTCTCCACAATCTGCATCACCGTGCCGTTCTTCCCTGTCACGGTTCGAACTGTCGGTGTTTGGGTCAGAGAAGAGCTGGGCTTTCCACTTGGTTCAAGACCGGATGCTTCCTTCTGACTGCCCAAATCCGCCCTCTGCAGGTCCTGGGAGGAGCCCAGGCTGTGGCCTGACGAAGAGGGCCCTCCACTGGAAGCAGGCTTCGGCCCACTTACTCCATTCGTAGCTGGGCTAGGCCCTGCCCCAAGTAGGCCTTTCCCCTTACTATTCACCTCATTTCCCGCTTTATTTTTCCCTTTCCTTGCCTCATCGCTGCTTTTCATACCATTTTTACCGTTCTTTTCCTGAGGAGGGTTCTTCTGTGGACCGTGACCGTTGGTAGGGGGAGGAGAAGGTAAGTGGTTCCTTCCTTCCTTAATCGATGGTCCGCCCTTTCCATCTTTAGAGACGATAGAAGGGATTTGGTTTCCCGGTTTGCTCTCTACTTTCCCCTTCTGCTGCACCTCCCTTGGGTTGCGCCGTGATCTCCTCGTCACCAGCATCCACGGTCCGAAGCCCGGGTTGGGCTCCTCGGCGGTACCTGTCAATTCCGGCGACGTGACGGCTTGCGACGGTTGTCCCGAGAGAGCGATCGCCGAGTTCTGAGGGCAGGTTGGTGATGAGTGTCCGATCTTCCCACAATCGAAACAAACCTCCGGTAAGTTCTCGTATTCCACCTTTTGCCATTCGTCATCGAGCCAAATCCGCGGCACCAAATGCTTCGACAAATCGACTTCCACCGCTAGACGAGCAAACTTTGCTCTATCCTGAGACAACGTGTGGTAGTCCAGCTTGATAGTCCTGCCAATTAGATTCCCCAACATGTTCAGCACCTCTTTATGGTAGAAATGTATTTTCAAAGCTGGGAGTTGCACCCACACGATCATCGTCTTGGGGAGAGGATCAGATGCTTTAAACTTCGGGGACCATTGCTGAACCACCAAGTAATGATCGAATATCACCCAAGGACCATCCGTCAAAGCTCTGAAGTAATCTTGCTCGTTATCCAGTCTGACCAGGAAACAATCATGGTCGAGGTCCTTGACCTCCATATTCCCGGACGGACGCCAAAGATTCCTCAGACGGTTGCAAAGGGTAACAAAGCCTATCCGTAGCCCCAGTAATCGGACCACCAGAGTTTTCTGCCATGGTGCACAAAGCTTAGCCTTGAAAGCGGCCGACACCTGTAGCGATGGTTCCCCATTGCGCTCGCCTGTAACTAGGTCATGCTCTCCTACCGGAGTCCATTGTATCAATTGGCTCGGACTCGCCGCCGCCGGTTTCAATCCTGTCACCGCTTTGGCATAGGTGAAGGGTTGCTGACTGGTGGCCGCCGTCGATGGTTGTTCATGGTGGGATCCCGTCAACAGATCCGTTTCTCCCTGATCCTGCACAGACAAAGAAGAGGAGGAGTCAATAGCCATATCAGAGGGAACGGTGGCCATGGCCCCGTTACTCAACGAAACAGAAGGTTCAGCCATCGCTAAAGGAGAGCAGGCGTCAGGTGGTCGGTCGGAAGGGGAAAGAGCCGGCGCCGGGGTCGGCAATCCTTCGCTAGCGGCAGAGAGCATTTTCCACAATTATCTCTCAAAAGACTCTCGCAAATGCCTAGTTATAATTTTCGTAAAAACAAATTTTACATGACAACAATATTTACTTTATGAAGATGAAGATGGCTATCAGTCTGTTTATGATAATCACTCATTTTTAAGAGCGTGTTTAATTTTATTGTTAAGTACCATTTCACGGACATGAACGTAGGATCTTAAGGTTAACCAATGACAAATTGCTAGACTAAACCCTTATTTGTTTTTTTGCGATAATTATTCTTAATCTCAACCAATAAGAAACGTAAATCATAACGAAATATTTGGATGGACAATATGGTTGATTATGAACAAGTCGTTTGATAAATATTTAAAATTGATTGGACGTTGATACTTGATTCACCTATACTTTTATTTGAAAGTGTATTTTGGCAAATTTTCCTGCTCGAGAAAAGGTACAAGATTTCTTAGTGATTACGTAATAACGACGTTTCAGACTCTCGTTTGAAACCTCTGACAAGTGTCTATTGAGCGGACTAAGATGTATCTAAAGCTAATTCTGAATTTTCATTGATTATCATTTTGGAGAGTCCAACTATTATCGAGAAAATAATTGTCCATTCTAATAACACTAAGGAGCACTAGCATATGAATTGTAAGACTCGCCCTTAATCATTTTGGCGTCGACCGAAGGCTAATGCTCCTTGGACACGTAACTAATTAATTGGCTAATAGAAATTATCACTAATCCGACCTTGTTGGAAGCCACTAATTGAAACAGTAATCTCCTAACTTGATTATCCTCTTCTAGTTGAACTTCAAATCATAAAAGCTTATAATTACTCTTATTACTACTTTCATTAATCTAAGTAACTTAGCCTAATTGATGATTACAGATTACAAGCCACCCAAATAGAATCTCCAAGGTAGAACTAGGGATGGCAATGGGTAGGGTCGGGTGCGGGTTTACCCTATACCAACTCCTAACCCGCCGGGTAGAGCCTTCTAAAATACCCGACCAAATAACCACCGGGTATGAAAATTATATAACCATACCCTACCCACCGGGTAACCACGGGTATTCGGGTAACCATGGGTATGAATCCTAAACTATGAACTTATACACATATATGCACATACATATTGTTGTCCATTAAAAATTCTCAATACTTCTAATTGTTCTAGCTTCAACAATCCACACAAATAAAAACAACAAAAACATAATAATTGCTCTTGCTTCTACAATCCACACAAACATAATAATTGTTCTTGCTTCTACAATTCACACAAACATAATAATCGTCTACATCTTCATCATCAATAATGGTAGCTAAACTAAATTTCTCAAGCTAAACTATAAATTTCTCAAGGGAAATTGACTCCCTTTGGTTAGCGGGGCGGGTATAACGGGGCGGGTATTATCAATTACCATACCCGTACCCTACCCTTTATTTTGAAACCGGGTATTACCCGTACCCGCCCCTTAACCCGTCAAAGCGGGTAATTACCCTCGTTGACCGGTTACGGTCGGGTAGGGTACCCATGGTTACGGGTTGGATTGACATCCCTAGGTAGAACGTTGGTAAATCAGTCAAAGTCATTTCAAATCACCAAGTTGAGTCTCTACACCAATCAATATACTTTAATAATTGCATTTGCTAATCAACAATAACAAATAAAAGTATAAAATCAACAAATTATCTAAATTATTACCCTGCTAACTTATACATATATTTTCAGTGATGTCTAATTCAAAGCTTATTCATGCTCGTAACTTTTTATATTGAGTGGTGTGAACAAACTAATCACCTCGTTGCATGCGTGAAAGAACATTTCATATGAACCCCAAATCAAGATATGTCGAAGTTTCAAGAGTTGAATTTAGGATAAATGAATTTTTAAATTTAAATATCAAGCCGCTCGTTAATAATTCGACTCATTTGCAACTCTAATCATGGAGAAGGCGTATGACCGCGTGGAGTGGGAGTTCTTGTTCCAGGTTATGGGCTCTTTGGGTTTCTGTGGGAAGTGGATGATGTGGATTAAGGCCTGCATTACTACGGTTCGTTTTTCGGTTCTGCTCAATGGAGCGGAGTATGGATACTTTCAGCCACAGCGGGGCATTCGCCAAGGGGATCCTCTATCACCCCTGTTGTTTGCAATCTACACCGAAGCCTTTGCTGCCAGGATCAACCAAGCGATCTCTTCCTCCGCTCTGCATGATATTAAGATCCACAGGTTTGCTCCCTCCCTGTCTCACTTATTTTTTGCTGATGATGCATATCTGTTCCTTCGGGCTTCTATCCCGGAATGTGCGAATCTACTTCACTTAATCTCGGACTTTGAAATCTTTAGTGGACAAAGGGTAAATTTACATAAATCTGCTGTGTGTGTGAGTGGAAATGTCTCTGAGCAGGAGCTCCATTCCATCAGTTCGTACCTTGGAGTTGGGATTATGAACCCGGATGATAAGTATCTAGGTCTTCCTTCCCAGTTGCGCCGATCGAAATCCCTGTCATTCCAATTCATTGAGGAGGATCTGGCGGCTAGAATTCGTAGCTGGAAGACGAAGGCTCTATCCCTAGCAGGTAAAGAAGTAGTGATCAAAGCTATTGGAGCAGCGGGTCCGATTTATGCTATGTCAGCCTTCAGATTACCTCAAGAAACCTGTCGAAGGTGCAATAGTCAACTTTCAAAGTTCTGGTGGGCTGGCCAGGACAAGGAAAGAGGAATACACTGGATTTCCTGGAACGCGCTATGTCAGAGTAAGTTTATGGGTGGGCTTGGATTCCGAGATTTTAACCGTTTTAATGTTGCTCTACTAGCCAAACAGGCCTGGCGAGTTCTTCACAACCAAAGCGGCTGCTTAGCCCAAATGTATAAAGCAAGGTATCATCCCCAGATCGAGTTCCTCCAAGCGACGGCTGGCAGCCGCCCTTCCTGGGCGTGGCAAGGGCTGTTAGAAGGGAGGAACCTGCTTCTACGTGGTTTGAGGTGGCAAGTTGGGGATGGGTCCCAAGTCCGGATCCTCCACGATCACTGGCTGCCCTCGTCACCCCCATCGTGCCCAGACCTACGACCAGGTGTGGATTCGTGCCCTATGTATGTTTCAGAATTAATATGCCAGGAATCTCACTCATGGAATAAAGAAATGTTGGTAGCCTTGTTTGTGCCTGATAGTGTTGTCCTTATATTGTCCATTCCTTTACCTATCTCTGTGACACCTGACCGTTTAATTTGGCACTACTCTCCATCGGGAGTTTATACTGTTAAGACAGGATATCAGCTACTCTCTACTGAACATAACATCCAGCACCCACCGACGATTCTGCCCTTCGAGACTCGATTTTGGAAGCTTTTGTGGAGTCTTCCGGTTCCCCCTAAACTGAAGAACTTTCTTTGGCGGGCTGTTCGTGGTTTTCTCCCATTACAAACTGTGCTATTTACCAAATCACTCACCCCTGACACTATCTGCCCCATTTGTTCAGAAGAGCCAGAATCTTTCTTCCATTTCCTTTTCTCATGCAGGGTGGCTCGGAGGCTTTGGCAACTTGCGAATCTGGAAGACAGGATAGAGGCCCTAAATGGCATGACCACGGATGAGGCGTGGCCCTTTCTCTTCTTTTCCATGAACCTTTCGAAGCAGGCCTTGGCGGACATGGTGTTTATTTGCTGGCGCATTTGGAAGAGCAGATGCTGGTCGGTCCATGGCCACATTCAATACCTCCCACACGCCTTGTTCCGACAATACCAACAACAACTTGAAGAGTGGAGATCGGTGGGAGAGACTGCCGCGCAACCTGTCCAAACAAATAATCAGCGCCAAGCTTTCTCGACACCCAGCATCAGACCGACAGCGGCTGGTTCTCCTCCAAATTCCATCTCAGTATGGTTTGATGGGGCGGCTAAACGAGATCAGGGGGGAAGCATTGGTTTTGTTGGATTCCAAACAACAGGTAATGTTCTCTTTGCGTTTGGCAAATGCTATGAAGGGATTAATGATGCGTTTGTAATGGAATGTCTTTCCTTGAGAGATGCCTTACAATGGTGCTTGACCCATGGTTTTGTTTTTGTCAAATTTCATGGGGATTGCCAACAATTAATACGGAGAATGGTGGGAGGAGACTTCGCTCATGATCGAGGGGGAGCAGTCCTAGAGGATGCACGTCAGTTGGCGGCCAAGTTCAGTTGGATTCGTTTCTACTTTGTAAATCGTCATCTCAATAGGGCCGCCCATCATGTGGCACATAAAGCCCTTTCATCGGGAGTTCGACTATTGGTCGACTCCCGCGCTGTTCTTTTTTCTTCTGTTTGAATGACTTATTGAACCCTGACTTTGAAAAAAAAAAAAAAACCTTGTTACAAGCCACTAAATTGGAATCTCCAACTACTCATTGTTAATCAGTCGCAGTGTGTACTTAATCTCAGATCATGGAGTTAATTTTGAAAATCCCAACGTCTAATCCTTCCGCCGCAATTGCTTTAATTATTACTTTACCACAATTCAATCCAATTGACACCAATGTAACAATGTTGAAACTATTACAGCTTTACAAGTCAATATCAAACATAATTGCATTCACTAGTCAATCTAAATAGTCGAGTTCAAGAGAAACTCTTATAGCTTATCCATAGATTTGGATTTTTTTTTTTTTTGTTTAAGTGTCTGGAAAAATGAAGGAGTGATAGTCAAGCATAATTTGGTGTTACTCCAATATATGTTTTACATGTTATGAAAACATCAAACACACTCATATATACGTCAGATCGCTAATTTATTAAATTTGTACTTTTTTCTTAAATTTAGAGAGCTTTTTCTGAAGTATGAGGAAAAGTATGTCTGGTAAGTGCTTAGAAAATGTAAAGTTTATAAAAGAATTTTATTAATTATTTTTTTTCATTAGTTACATTTTGGCAATTAAAAAAGAAGGAAAGATAATAGATCTAATGATTACTAACTGGATAGCGAAATTGACAATCCTCTTAGAAGTTGTCACCGTATCCCATCCAGATGGATTCACGTGAAGGATTGACACCATGGTAAATCCTCAATGAGCTTCAAAATATAGTAGTTCCTAGAAACCGGCCCAAACAAATAAACATGGTATATTCGCATGTTGAAGGGCCGACGGCCCATGCCGTATGAGTTCAGGTAAAGAATGGGCCCGAAGGCCCAGAGTCGTCCACGCAAGTCCAAATATGGGGTGGAGGAGTCTGTCTCTTGTTAAGTTTAAGTTTAGGCAGCTGAGCCTGAGAGCCCAGTCATATATTGCCATCTCCCAGATTCGTTGACTGATTAAATCTCGCCGGCAGAAAATGCTAAATCCTCTCCGGCGTTGAGAGGGCAAAAGAAATACTGCGCGGATTATCAGGGGGGAAGACGACGATGTCGCCGCCGGCTTCTCCATGGTGGCGCACGGCAGTTTCCGTTATCGTGCTGTCTTTCCTCTTCATCTCTCCGGGCACCGCCATCTACTGCGATGAAGACGATTGCTACGATTTACTCGGGTCCGCCGTCTCCCTCCCTCCCTCTCTTCATTGCCGTTGTTTTGTTACCCACTGCATCTTGATCTGATTATGAATTATTCTTCAGGGTCACTCAGAGCGCCACTGTGTCCGAATTAAAGAAGGCTTACTACAAGCTCTCGCTGAAACAGTAAGTCGCGCTAGTTTCATTTCAAGCTCGATTTCAATGCTTTGAATGTTTGGTTTTGGATAATTTCTGTGTCTCAGTCACCCGGATAAGAACCCTGATCCAGAATCGAAGAAGCTCTTTGTGAAAATCGCAAATGCCTATGAGGTACTGAAAAAAATGAAGAACAACCTTCACCATTTGTCAAATTTTGGTTATTTTCCTCATTTGAGATGGATTTCGGATGAATGTGATTGCAGATTCTGAAAGACGAAGCTACAAGGGAGCAGTATGATTATGCAATTGCACATCCGGAGGAGGTGAGAATTTGTGGTTTGAGTTAATGTTAATTGGATGATTAGAATCAGGCTTTTTTTTTTTTTTTTTTGCATAATGTTATTTGCTTCTGCATTTGGAATTTGGTTTAGGTATTCTACAACACTGCTCGGTACTATCATGCTTATTATGGTCACAAAACGGTATGAAACTTGTTATTGTTGTTGTTCATCTGTTACAATCCCGGTGTTCTTCCTAGATGAAGCCATAATTTTGATGGTGGGTAATTATACCTTTTTCAGGATCCTCGCATAGTCTTGGTCGGGCTTCTTCTACTGCTCTCAGGGTTTCAGTATCTGAATCAGAAGTCTAGGTACCAGCAGGTAAAATTGTTGAAAGTTGGATGAACTACTACCATTTGAGCTGGTGTAGCTATGGAAATGGAAACCATCTACTAAGCTTGAAATTGCAGAGGTTGCTCTAAGAGCAGTTTTATATGCCCCTCATTTTGTTTCAGGCAGTTGAGATGGTGAAGAAGACACCCGCTTACAAGAACAAGCTACGAGCTTTGGAACTTGAACGCAGTGGAGGGCTTTCATCTAAGAAGAAGAATAACAGGCAGATGGACAAGTATGGGTCTAGCAATTTTTTATATGTTCAACCAGCCGCTTCAGACTGTATTTAGTATCTTTTGGCTAATTTGTGTTCCAAATTCTTGGTCCCAGTTGTATTTTGGTTATGGGATTAACAAGTGTGAAGCTCTGTTGTACAGAAAAGTAGAGGAAGATCTCAGCAATGAGCTTCAGCTGGACATAAAAGGTGCTCATCAACCCTGCATCTGGGAACTTATAGGTGTCCAATTTGTCCTTCTACCTTACACCCTTGGGAAGGTATGTTGCTCATGATTCGGATGTTCGGTTCTGCGCTTTTAGTTTCTTCTGGGACTGGATGATTAGGACAGGGCTATCTTGCGTAAGCTAAAGAGAGAAAGACAAGTGACATGTTTCTTTGTCACAGTTGTTGCTGTGGAATGGCTGTTGGTTATGGAGATACAAGGTGAAGAAAGCTCCATATGCTTGGGAAGATGCTTCCTATCTAACTCGTAGGTCGCTGAGAGTGCCTCTTGAACAATGGGGAAGCATCGGTAAGTATACACCACATTCCTTATACAACCTCGTAATGTCGAATTAAAACTCAGAGCTAAGGTCCTTGGGTTAGATCTCCTCGTTCACACATCAAAGATCACCCTTTGAACCTCTTTTGGCAACTTAACATGTTGCATAGCATTGGAAACTCGGATAACATAGAGTGAAATTGTGGAATGGTCCGGTTCGGTCCAACATCAGACAAACTTTAGGGGGAAGATGAGGACCAGGCTGGCTGTAAATTGCATTTGGGCCGGTCTGGTTTTAATCAATCCATCTATTTGTATGTATTTTAAGGCATTCCGATGTAATTGCAAAAACAAAATGTCTTTGGATTTAGGAATCAGACCCAACGGTATTAAATTCAATCCAATACAAGCATCGATTTGCTTCAACTCGGCCTGGTGTAGACCTAATCGTTGTCTGCCCACCCCTAAGCGAGCATTTACAGTTTGTAGTCTCTTGTAACATATAGTGGCTCTGAAACTTCATGCCTGCATTTACCAGTTCTGCAATCCTTAAAACGGTTTTCTATTGTGCAGATGAATCGACAAAGGAAGATCTTGTTCAACGACGTCTGTGGGAGAAGTCGAATTTCGAGAGCTACGTAGCTGAAATGCGCAAGGACTCGAAGCGCAGGAGATGAACATCAATGTTGTAGTAGCTTGCTTTATTTATCTCTTCCATTGGAGGGCTGACAAACCAGCTGACAGCACACACAAAATTTTGTTAGTCGGATACAGTATACATATACGAGCATGAAGCATACTGTACCTAAGATACTGCTGAGTGAGTCCATTTGTACTGCTACGGAAATTTCACTTCTTAGTTATTTCATTACTACAGGGATTCTGAACTCCAAAACTATATAGTCATTAGTATGCGAGACCAATGAGTTACCATCTTATGTTTGTGGATAACGTTATTTAATGTTCAGTTATCAGTCTTGATGATTCTTTTTGCTGATGTTCTTTGGCCTGTCTAATGACAAATTGGAGCATTGCAGGGATCTGTAACGCGGGCTGTGAATTTGTTTATCCTTTTTACAGGGACAAGTCCGATCTAGAGTTGAATGATTGTGATATGTCGTATGTGTGAGACGAGTGAAAATGAGTGTTTATGATGTACTCTCGTTTTCTGTAAATCTTATTTGTTTGATTTCTTATCGAACTATTAATTCGTATGTGTTCAAAAAAGAACTATCAATTCGTCACATACATACTAGAAAAATGAAGTCATTTTTCATGGATATCTATCTGATTATAGACCTTATTATTAACAGATAAAACGAGGTAATCAGCCACCGAGACAAACCATGGTGGTTTGGATTTTGGAACTGTTGATTAGTCTTAATTCTAGAAAACGAGCTCTGGGCTTTTTTCTGAGGCCCATGAAAGTAAGCCCAATACTTAACAGAAACTTTAGAGTAATACCGCTAAAACTCTGTTATCAGCGCCTTGGAGCTTCCTGTTCTTCTTTGATTCTCTTTCTTTCCCAACTCTGGTTATGGGGGTGTAAATCAAAGCTACCGGACTGGCAATGGCTAAATCACAGGTAGCGTTCCCCAATCAATTTTTTACCTTCCTTTCCTGTACTGTTTTCCCGGGAAATTTTCATGCTGAGAATGAGTTTTCCCGCTCCCGTTTGGCAAGGTAAGATCGGGTGTTTGGTTCCTCTGAAATCGACCCTAGACGTGGACACTTCGCTCCCAAAATTGCCGCTCACCGAAGGCGCGAACTCCGTCGGCCGGGAGACTCTATCCGTCACCGACAAGAGAATCAGCCGCAACCACCTCACTCTCAGCGTTTCCCGCGACGGCGCCTCCGCCAATTTATCTGTGGTATTTGACATTTACTTCTGCCTACAATTTCCAGTTTCACTGGTTCGTTTGTTTCTTCCTTTTGCTCATTTTTACGGCCATGGAAATTGGGGATTAGGACGGGACGAATCCGGTTGTGGTCAAGTCGGGAGGTAGAAGGGAGAAGCTGAGCCGAGGGCAAAGCGTGTTAATTAAGAATGGTGATGTTATAGAGTTGATCCCCGGCCACCATTTCTATAAATATCTTCCGGCGGCTGGCGAGAAGAGAGCTTGTAATGGCAGCGGAGACGAGACTATCTCGAAGAAAATTAGGCGTTGCGGAGAAGCTCAGAGCTACAATGTGAGTGGAATTCTGTTATTTGAACTGAACTATTGTTGCTCCAGTTTTTGGAAGAGGAAAATGGTGGTAACTGTATCAGTGTGTAGATTGAGCTGCGAAGTTGCGAGAATGGGAATAGTGAAGAAGCCATACGCGATTTTAGGGTTCATGAGGACAAATTGCCGCTCACATTTCGACTCTTGAGGGTGAAAGGGCTGCCTCCATGGGCAAACACCTCTTCTGTTTCTATAGGTGATGTGATTCAGGTAATGGTGGTCTTAGCCTCAACTAGTGTGGAATTAGCATTTCCAAAGTACTCTTGAATTCGCAGCTTGATGGTTGGGTTTGTTTCTGTTTTCCTAGGGAGATATTCAAGTTGCTATTCTGTCAAATTACATGGTGGATATGGACTGGTTACTGTCTGGTGAGAGTTCATTTTGGTACATGCTTGACAGCTTTTCTCTTGTTTAATTTGCGATGAGATGAGCTGAAAACTTGTCATTGTATTCAGCATGCCCAACACTTTCAAAAGTTCCTAATGTATTGGTCATTCATGGGGAGGGTGAAGGCACTGTTGAGCAGATGAAGGTTTGCTCTGGATCTTTGTTACTTTTATACGCTCAGTTTTTGGCTACAAGACTTATGCTGGATTCTGATTGTTTTTCTAGAGAAGCAAGCCAGCAAATTGGATTCTGCATAAGCCACCCCTCCCCATTTCATATGGGACACACCATTCGAAGGCCATGCTTCTCGTGTATCCTAAAGGCGTTAGAATTATAGTTCACACGGCAAATTTAATTTATGTTGACTGGAATAACAAAACTCAAGGTCTGTGGATGCAAGATTTTCCCTGGAAGGATGAAAAGATTGCAAATAGAGGTTGTGGGTTTGAAAGTGATCTGGTTGATTATCTTAGCGCATTGAAGGTACTCCCTCACATATTTGTCTTATTTTAATAGCCAAGTGCGAAAGCTTTCATGAGGTTTTTTAGTTTTCTTCTTGATTCGCTTCAGCTTTGAATTTATACAGTGGCCTGAACTCACGGCTAATATACCATCTCTCGGGAATTTGAAAATAAACCCTTGGTTCTTCAAGAAGTTCGATTATAGTGATGCACAGGTATGTTTCAAGTTTTCCCATGGCGGAATATATCTCAAGTATAGTGGCAATATATATGATGATGTACCTGTGTTTCTCAGGTTAGACTAATAGGTTCTGTTCCTGGATATCACACTGGGGCTAATCTTAAGAAGTGGGGGCATATGAAGCTGAGAACTGTTCTACAAGAATGCACATTTGACAAGGAATTCAAAAGTTCTCCTCTTGTATATCAGGTAAAAAACAATTCAATGTGATAGGTCGAGTGTGGGGAAGCATGCCAAGTATCAATAGCAATAAGGAATAGTAAAGCAAATATGTTAAAAGAGTAACTTTGTAGCTTTCTTTTCATCTGTTTTAACAATAAAAGCTTTGGCTGGAAACTTCCTCAAATAGTTACACATGGGATTCAATTCCACTTAATGACGTTGTGTTGGTGTTTATTGTTTTTTCATTGATGCAGTTCTCCTCCCTTGGTTCACTGGACGAGAAATGGATGACTGAGCTGGCTACGTCTATGTCATCAGGAGTCTCAGAAGATAAAAAACCACTTGGTCTTGGTGTTCCTCAAATAATATGGCCTACTGTGGAAGATGTCAGATGTTCTTTGGAGGTAATCAGAAGTAGATTGTAGCTAAACTAGCCCTGTTTAGGGATTTTAATTTGTTACGTTTTTGAATTCTTCGTAACCAAGTATGCTAGAGTCTCAGCTGTTAGGTTGTCTCTTCCTTTGGTAACCAATTGTTGTATCCAGGGCTATGCGGCTGGCAATGCTGTTCCAAGCCCTCTAAAGAATGTAGAGAAAGAGTTCCTGAAAAAGTACTGGGCGAGGTGGAAAGCTACACATACTGGTCGTTGGTATGTTCCTGAGGTCATTTCTTATGCAAATTTAAGCAATTATAATCTCAAATTCTTGAATCAGTTTTCACTATTTAGACATCTTGGTATTATAAACCCATCCTCTGGGTATTTTGCAGCCGGGCGATGCCACATATCAAGACTTTCGCCCGCTACAGTGGACAGAAACTCGCGTAAGAGCTCTTTTCATTCAGGTCAACTATATAAATGGTCACTGGAATTGAGATGATAAACAAATCATAAACTAAACTTTTGACTTTAAAGGAACTTCTCGCTTCTGTTTGGAATAGCCAACATAATCTTCAATTTATCCATCTCTGTCAGGACTTGGTGGCCAAATTGTTAGTAACCCCGAAGGTGTCAACTCTGCTATTACATGGACTGATTTTTGAACCTTGAATTTATTTTCTTACTTCATTTGAAGGGCAGTTGGTTCTTGCTAACTTCGTCGAATCTTAGCAAAGCAGCTTGGGGAGCCTTGCAGAAAAATAATTCTCAGTTGATGATCCGTTCTTACGAGGTACGCTCTCTTTCAACTAGCACAGATAAATAGATCAAAATGGTAGCTTCATGTCAACACAACACAAGTGGGGCTGTCTTATTTTTTCCAGCTCGGTGTTCTATTTCTTCCATCTCAAGCAACACGACACCACCATGGATTCTCTTGCACGAGCCACAAGGTTTCGTCGGAGGTAAGGTGGTCAAACCATGTCGTTGGATGCTCTTTTCTCCCCTCATTTCCAGAAATAACATATGAAATCTCCTTTGGCAGGACAACAACCATCTCGGATCATCATCATCGTCATACTCGCCTACGAAAACAGAACTGGTGACTCTAGCATGGCAGGAGACATCAAACTCAACGTCATCGCCTTCAGAAGTGATCCAACTGCCGGTGCCTTACGAGCTCCCTCCTCGACCCTACTCGAAAGAAGGTCTCTCCCCCGTCCTCTATTTCTACTTTCTTGTCCTCCATCGGGTTTTCCTCTAATCGCCGATCTCTCCGTTTGTTGTTGCTGCTATGCAGACGTGCCTTGGTCGTGGGACAGGAAGTACAGCAAGAAGGATGTATACGGTCAAGTTTGGCCTAGGTCTGTACAGCTTTATGCTTCCCAGGACTAAACTCCTGTCTACCATGCGTGGCTTTCCTTGTTTGAACTTCTTCCCGCCGGGAAGATGAGAAAGCTTGAATTGAAAACCAAGCCCGGTGGGGTAAATGGCCTTTTTTCTTGCGAATTGGAAGCCTGCAACCAATTGGGCCCCCAGTAGGCCCATTGTCCAGCGTTAACGGGTCACGTAGCTAGGCCAGTTTCCATGATCACCACATGCACAAAAGTGTAAGTAACTGCCTGCGCCATTCCTCCGGCTCCTAGTACTGCCGCGAATGAGGGTGGGCAAAGATCCGGTCACATTTGGATCGGACTGAATCAAACCAAATGAACCGAAAATGATTTTGGTCGGGTGTTAATCCTCTTTTATTTTTTTATCCAGTTATAAATCTATTCAATATGATTTTGGACCGAATTAGCCGATGCTTGTCCCTAACCGCAAATACTCTTGTACTCCAATACGGTCGTACATTGTGTGCCATGATCAGATAGCGCTATGTCTTGGTTTTACAACAAAGTTGACGTCGACTATGTCTTTGCCAGATGTACGGGAAAGCTATGTATGAATACTTTTTGATGTTCTCATCTATTCCTTGAGACGCAAATAAGGTTTGCCCATTTTGTTGCGTGATAAGATCCCTTGCCACCTTCCATCGTACCCTCAAATCCTCTACTTCTAGTACCACATTTCTTACATTTAACCTACACTTATTGCATGTACGGACATTTCCATTTGCTTGAGAAGGAGAAGGAACCATTAGCTCCTTCCTTCCCTCAATGCATCGATCTAATAAAAAGCCCCCGTCCATTCCGCTACTCAGTTGAGCCGAATTCGGATAATTCCGTTACAACCAAACTAACAACAACAAATTCCCACCCTTTTCTCCCTCCATATTACTCTCTTCCACCGATCCTTTAATTCCTTACAAATCCCTCCGCCTCCTTCCCCCCCGGCGCGCCGCCGCCGCCAAACGACCGATATGGACGTGTTCGTGGAGACGAAGAGAGGCCCGCCGTTCTCCATCGAAGTTGGATACTACGACACCGTACTGAACATCAAGGAGAAGATCCACAAGTACCAAGGCATCCCCGTCCCCGCCCAAACCCTCTTCTTCAACGGCCACATCCTCCACGACGACCACCACGACGTCGAGCGCTGCGGCATCCTCCAAGACTCCCGCATTTTCCTCCACGTGTCCCCCGACGCCGCCGCCGCCGCCGAATCCGACCACCGTAGCAACACTACTCCCCACCACCACCACCCGGCTCCGGCCCCATCCCCATCCCCGGCTCCAACTCCCCTCCCTCCTCCCACTCCGCCGCCGCCACCGGCGACGTCCAAGATCCTGATCAAGATCAAGACCCCCAGAACGGCGTCGCATCACCTCTCCCTCGAGATGGACCCGAACGACACCGTTTTAGCCCTGAAGGAGAAAATCCAAGAGATCGAGTCCGTCCACGTCAGCAGGCTGGTCCTCCAATCCAACGGCGGCGGCGGGCCCGAGCTGCAGGACCACCGCACTCTGCGCGACTGCGACATAACAAACAACTCCGAGATCTCCGCCACCGCCCGCCCTCCGATCCCCGCCCCGTCTCCTCCTCCCGCCATATCCGCCGCGACAACCGCATCGGTTCCGACCGGGTCGGGTTCGAGCGGAAGCAACAAGAAGCTGAAGCTGCTGGTGGTGACGAAATGCGCGACCAAGAAACTGCCCGTGGAAGTGAACGCAGGGGATAACGTCTCGGAGCTGAGGAAGGAGCTGCAGAGGCTGCATCAGAAGATGAATTTCCCGCTGCCGCAGGAGGGCTATTTCTTCATATACAAGCAGAACGTGATGGAGGACGAGCAGTCGTTTCGGTGGCACCAGTGCGGCCAAGGGGACACGATTGAGATCTTCAATGGCAGCGTTACTGGCGGGTCCTAGTTACAGATCGAGCAGGTTTATAATACAGAGGAAATATTGTAGCTTGGTAGATGAACAATGGCGTGGGTAAAATTCTGGGTTTTCTAGAGAGATTGATTGAGATTGATTTGGGACGAATTTTGGTTAGCAAATTGTAAGTATTAAGAGATGGAGCTATGATTTTTTGAAGGATTATGGGTATGATGAACAAATTAGTTACGATTACTCTATGTTCGTGAAGCATTAATGTGACGACTGGAGTGTTCAGATTGATAGATTAAATGATGGATAATAGATCATGCAATGACTTTTTAGATAGGTGGTAAGAGACCATGGCATAATTTTTAGGTGTTGGGTTGGAATTCACGCAAAACTCTTACCTCGTGATGGTAATGTCATGTAGTAGTACTCTTTCACCCATTTTCTAACTCACGATGGGAATATCAAGTAGTTACTTGCTACATGACTTTTTATTGAATTCGGTAAGTTGTTCATATTAAATGTGATTGAATCTTGATTGAGTTCGATTCAATTTGAATCCTTCTATTGTCACAGGGATTTATAAAACTATGATACAATATAGAGTTGATATATACATTATAGTGTTGGTATCACATACGGGTTGTCCTAGTTTTTAGAAAAAGGTTCATAGAAAACTCATTTTCATGGATTATAGCCATCTATGTACCTTACTTATTTTCCTCTTTGTCTTGATTATTGATGGACACGATGACGATATTGATTTTTTTTTTTTGTCGAATTATCTCTCAATAATAAGAGTATTCAAATACACAAAGTATTACTGGGAATGTAACCAAGAAACAAATCAAATCCCATAACACTTTGGGTCGAAAAAAATAGAACTTAAACCCCAAATAAGTCATCCTATTATTTCTACAACCAACGTAGACAAGGTCACAAGGTCTAACTGAGATGAGCTATCAAGCATCACGTACAGGGGCGGAGCCAGGAATCGAAGATCGGGGGGCCGGAAATATTTTTGTATGTTATCGCAAAATGACTTTAAAAAAATAAAATAATAATTTTATATTATTATAACGTCACAAATTATTCATTGAAACGATTAACATCACTTTGTAAACTAACTTTTTAAGCATTGAGTTCAATATAAATTAAAAAAAATAATTAACAATACATTTCGATATTGTATTGTACATATGTTTTCATAATTAAGAGATAGGTCTTACACGAGTATTTAAAAGAAATTGTTGTTGTATATACATATGTTTAAAGTATTGCATCCCTTGGAGTAGTTAAAAGAAATCGGTAGGGAATAGCTGGCAAAAAATATTTGCTTTGCATGAGAATCGAATTGAACCAAGGACCTAGTGAGAGCAAAACAGCCCACCTTCCGCTACGCTAGGAGTCTGTTTTGTCAAATTAATGCATACTAGATCATTTTAACCATTTCGTTTTATTTATACGTAAATTTCCCGAGTATTTAATACGTAACTTTCAAGATTCTCGGGGGGCCCGAGGCCCCCCGAGCCCTGCTGTAGCTCCGCCCCTGATCACGTAGACCTCGACTATCTCATCATTTTCCATTCCATATAATTAGCTACTAGCTGTAGAGCAAAAGAGTAGCCCAAAGGGGGGAAAGGGGGCCCAAGTAAGGTAGAGTCTAACATCGTTGGACTTTGAAAGCTATTGACATTCCCAACACACATCCCTAAGCCCATGGCCTCCATTTCCCAATGGCCCTAAAGGATGTCTATGGCTTTTCGGTTTATTAGTCGGTTTCAATTTTATTGGGCCTCTATTCCACTTCACATATATATAAAAATTACAATATCCCCAAATTGTGCTGTTCTTGCTTCTCGTCCCATATTCCCACCCACCACAGATAATAATTGATTAGTGAGCAAATCGTCTAGAGCTAGTGCAAATATGTCATCACGATCACAATATATCTTCTCAATTATATGCGACGACAATCAACACCCTCCACCTTTACCTATCAATATCATGCACCATTTATTTATCCAATTTTTGTTTATTAAACTACAATACCTGGCTGGGCCCATCAGACTATTAAAGTAAGCAAGCCCACTTGCGCATAATCTATTACCCAAACCCAATCCAACCAAATATCTAATTCCACTCACAAGTCACAACCCCAAAACCAATAAACAATTCAACTAGGGATGGCAACAAAACCCGAACCCATGGGTACCCATCCGATCCAACCCGGTCAACGCGGGTAAAATCCGTGTTGACGGGTTTGGGCCGAATTTGGGTTTAAACCCGTTCACTATTCACTAGGTTGGGTTGGGTTTGGGTTTAGGTAAACCCGGCCCGTGGGTACCCGCCCACCCATATAATTAATTTTTTCGGTATATTTAATATTCTAAACAACTAATCTTATTTATGTTTGTGGAGACATGTCTAATTTTTTCTTTTTAATTGTGTAGAATGAAGTTGATGTTATGGAGTGGAGAGTAAAGAAACTTAAGTGAAAGGAAGAAGCTTTCAATTAAACATGTTATTTATGGATAATTTGTGATTTGCTTCAATTTACTTGAGTTTTCTAGATTGATGTTGAACAATTTGTATAGTTAATTTGTGATTTGCTTGAATTTTCTAGAATGGTGTTTTATATATGGATAAGTTGTATTGAGAAATTGATATTTGACTTTAATTTTGATAAGAACTTGTAATTGTAAATTTTTTACGACAAAACCCGTGGGTACCCATGAACCCGCGGATACCCAACGGGTTGGGTAGGGTTTGAGTTTTTCAAACCCATTGGGTTTTACCCCGGGTTTTTTTTCAAAGATAAACCCATAGTTTTGGATTTGAGTTTGGCAAAACCCAACCCAACCCAACCCATTGCCATCCCTAAATTCAACAGGCGGTCACCATCCCTCATTCCGTCCCTTTCAAGCTCCTAACTCCGTCTAATAACCGAGCAATTATCCGGCCAGTGCACCTTCCACCGGGACCATCATCGTCCTTTTCCCGCGGAAAGCGCCAACTAACGCCGTGAATTCCAGCGGCAGAAAAGAAAAAGAAAACAAACGCCATAATTCTTATCAACGGCGTGACCTCGTCATTATCGGAGAAGATTCCAATACCGAGACGGAAACCAACGGCAACCAAACAATCCCTTGCCGTGTCAACTAGGCCAGAGAAAGAGACGCCGACGATCACGTCATTCCATACACGTGTCGGAATTGTACTGGCTCGTCCATGACTAAGGCGGTCCTTCTCCTTCCCCATCTATAAATCGGTTCACAATCCCTCCTTCCATCTTCACAATTCATTCATAACACCGATATATCTCTTATCATATCCCCGATCTTCGATTCAGAGCTTTCTTCCTCTCAATTCCTCTCAAGGTATAATCTCAATTCCGATGTCTCCCTCTTTCTATTAGTGTTCTTCTTGTTCTGTCTTCTCGATTGGATTTAGATTGTACGATTGAATCGCCAGATTAGGGTTTGTTGATGTCTATATACTGGTTGATGATTCCTCTGGAGATTGTTTGGATCTAGGAGTTAGGGTTTCTTCAATTCTTAGTACAGTAAAGTAGATCGTCAGACGTGTTGAATTGGTGTTTCGTCGATTCTCGTAATTTTGATTGGGTTGCTGAATTGGGGTTCTTCGATTTTGTGATTTCCAGATGCAGATCTTCGTTAAGACTCTTACCGGAAAGACCATCACTCTCGAGGTCGAGAGCAGCGACACCATCGATAATGTCAAGGCGAAGATCCAGGACAAGGAGGGGATCCCTCCGGACCAGCAGAGGCTGATCTTCGCCGGCAAGCAGCTGGAAGACGGCAGGACCTTGGCTGACTACAACATCCAGAAGGAGTCGACCCTTCACCTGGTTCTCCGTCTGCGTGGAGGCATGCAGATCTTCGTCAAGACCTTGACCGGAAAGACAATCACTTTGGAGGTCGAGAGCTCCGACACCATCGATAACGTCAAGGCGAAGATCCAGGACAAGGAGGGCATCCCTCCGGATCAGCAGAGGCTCATCTTCGCTGGAAAGCAGCTCGAGGACGGAAGGACTCTTGCTGACTACAACATCCAGAAGGAGTCGACCCTCCATCTCGTCCTGAGGTTGAGGGGAGGTATGCAGATCTTCGTCAAGACCCTGACTGGAAAGACCATCACTTTGGAGGTTGAGAGCTCCGACACCATCGATAATGTCAAGGCGAAGATCCAGGACAAGGAGGGCATTCCCCCGGATCAGCAGAGGCTTATCTTCGCCGGTAAGCAGCTGGAGGATGGAAGGACTTTGGCTGATTATAACATCCAAAAGGAGTCCACACTTCACCTTGTCCTGAGACTCAGGGGAGGTATGCAGATCTTTGTGAAGACCCTGACTGGGAAGACCATCACCCTTGAGGTGGAGAGCTCTGACACCATCGACAATGTCAAGGCCAAGATCCAAGATAAGGAAGGCATTCCCCCAGACCAGCAGAGGCTGATCTTTGCCGGCAAGCAGCTGGAGGATGGGAGGACCCTTGCTGACTACAACATTCAGAAGGAGTCAACCCTCCACCTTGTCCTGAGGCTTAGGGGAGGTATGCAGATCTTCGTGAAGACCCTCACTGGAAAGACCATCACTTTGGAGGTCGAGAGCAGTGATACCATTGATAACGTGAAGGCTAAGATCCAAGATAAGGAGGGTATCCCACCGGACCAGCAGAGGTTGATCTTTGCAGGGAAGCAGTTGGAGGATGGAAGGACTCTTGCGGATTACAACATCCAGAAGGAGTCCACTCTCCACCTTGTCCTGCGTCTTCGTGGTGGTTTCTAAGTGGTGTTGATTCACTAGTTGGTCTGTGGAAGGTTGTTGTTGAATGAATGTTTCGAAGTTCCCGGTTTGGATGAGGTAGCCTGATGGCTCCTCTGTTTCAAGTTTTTCTCTTTCAGTACTGTGTTGGCCATTGTGGCCGTGTGAACTATGTCTTTCATTTATGTTGTTGGATGAGGTTGCCCAATGGCTCCTCTGTAAAAGTCTTTCGGTACTGTGTTGGCCATGGTGGCCTTGTGAACTTTGTCTTTTCTTTCCTGTTATTGTTGAATAAAATGCCCTTGTTGTACCAAGGGATGTTTCTTTATCTGGTGTTGGTAGTTCTTAATTCTTATGGGATGATGGTTGCAAGATGTTTGTTTAAGTTTGCTGCGACGACTGGGGTGGCCTTTGCAGAGTTCTGTCTCTTTTTAGGCCGTGGAGGGTGGATTTTCATCCGGTTGAAAAGCAAAGCTTGAACTGTGTTCCGAGTCTGGTGAAATTTAGTACCTATTTCGGTTTACTGGTCTGCTTGTCTAGCGTTTTGGTTTGTCAAAGTTCGAACCTCGTATCTGCTTCAGTGAGTTCTCTCATTAAGACCGACATTCATCAGCGGCAGACAAATGGAGTTTCTAGTTCATATGAGTAGTAATTAGTGTACCAATCTAACGCTCTGGTAACTGGTAAGCCATCTTAATCAACAATTTGAAGTGGTACTTGCTTCCATGGCGGATTATCGGTGTGAAACCTTACTTGAATTTCAAAAGATTTAACGCGAAAATGTGAATCATATCACTATAGTTTTTAACTCGATGAAGCTATAAGAGCATGTAAACGAGATGATTTTAACTCTACAAATTCAAATCGCTCTTGAACTACATCAATGAAAAAACTAGCCAACTACGAACGTTAAGAGCTATAACTACTCGAATAAGTCAATCACCTCAACCTGGCAAAAAAGCATCATTTTCAGTTTCTGATGTTACAAAACGTTAGATTGTACTTCTTTCCCTGTATGAACATCACAAATATACTACTCGTGCAATTAAAAATAGTTGCTTTGAGCTGGTGCAAGCATGGCATATCGCTAAGAATATATCTTATATGTCATCTATAAGTCTATGCGTCCGCACCCACTAATGTATATATCATGCGCCATTGTTTTTTTTTTTTTTTTCTTTCTCAACAAGGAACTCCTAATGGTTAATCTACCCCCAACACCCCACTTGTCAATATCATAATGAGATACTAAATTACAATGAAGCTACTTTGTTGGTTCCTGCGTGTGTTAGCGTTGTTAGCATGAACGTTTCGAAGATTTCAATAGTTGTCCTTATGTGAACTCTAGGATAAAATATCTCAGGTGCCACTTAAGTTTGAGAATTGTGGTAGACATACCATTTAAGTTTGAATAAGGCATAGGGTACCACTAAACTCTATTATATGTGCACCCTGTACCACTTCCGTTTTCTTAATTTCATAATTGGTCCTTCTACTTTTCTTATTGTAAAAAAATCATTTGGACTTATAAAAAACATTATTTTTTATTGTTTAGTTAGAATCCTCTTTTGAATACTTAATACCAAACCAATTTTTGAATAGAAAATTTAGAATCAATTATCATTATATTTATTTTCAATTATCATTATGTGTTCTAAATTCTAAAAATTTAATTATTCCATGAATGTTGTAGCTTTTATATTTTATTTATTAATTTGTTACTTTCCATCTCTTTTTGTTCTAAATTTTTTCAATTAGTGGAATATGTTTAATTCTTTCTGATTGTGTTCCATTTATCCTTCTTTGATTTTGATATATTGATGATTGATTAGATTCTATTTTAACTATTTCTAATGGTGCTTCTAATTGAATTAGGGGTTTAAATATATATTCTAATATTTATTTTAAATATTTATTATTATATTCTAGTATATTTATTATTCTTCTTGATATTCGTTTATTATTTTTACTAATTTATCTATTTTATTGAAAATAGTTGATTAGTCATTATAGTAATAATATGTTTAGAAGGTTTTCTAATTATTATATTCGATAAAACTTGTTGAAATATAGTTTTGGATGTTTTTAAAAGTTTTGGGTATCAAAAAGTAATCAAAAGTTTGGGTTGGATGGAAAAGTAGACTGATGCACATTTTGACAACTTTAATGGTACCCGACGCCCTATTCAAACTTAAGTGGTATGTCTACCACAATTCTCAAATCTAAGTGATACCCGAGATATTTTATCCTGAACTCTACTGTCGATATGATTAAAGTAGATATCTTACCACATCAACCCACGGTTATGCTACACGTTAACCATATTGCTTGAAGATGAATCTAATCTCACCTCATTTAGTACACAATGGACAAGTCAGTGGGATATCTTGGACGAGTTGGTACTACTCTTTGTTCTCATGAGATAGAAGTTGACGCGAAGATTCTAGGAAGGTCTCAAATTAGCTCAAAGATATGGATCCGAGTGTGTTGCTCCCGAAGTACTGTCAGTTTGTTGGTATGACGTTTATTCTAGGAAGTATCCCACAAATCAAAGTCAATAAAATTTTCAGAAAACATAATGTGAGAGCGAATTGTAGTTGCTCGTTCTCTTAGCTAGATCATCTCTACCAAATTATTGATCCAATATTATGTACTTTAATTTCTTCTAAAACGTGTCGGGTAAATGCCATATTTGGTCATTGGTATTACTAAATCGTGTTTTGTTTAGGCACTAGAAAAAATTAATATTAATTTTGATCACTCGAATTACTAAAATATGTCACATATAGTCACTCTCCCGTTAGTCTCCGTCCAATTCCGGTCACTCAAATTACTTTTTTTTATGAATGTCACTCGAATTACTGAAACATTTCACATTTAGTCACTCTCCGTTAGCCTTCGTTCAACTCCGTTGTTTCAGTATAAAAAAAAGTAATTCGAGTGATCAAAATTGATGTTAATTTTTTCTAATGACTAAACATGAGATGATTTAGTAATCTCAGTAGCATCATTTACCCCCAAAATGTGTCTATCATATAACTCAATTAACGTTGGAATGAAGTTGATTTTACTGTTAAAAATCGTCCACGACCACCAGGATAACCACTAGGGGTGTCAGTTCGGGTCGGGTTCGGTTACCCAAACCGAAATTCGAAAAAACCCGAAATCGAAATCACTAAAATCGAACCCGAACCCGATAAGGACTTGCGGGGTTCGGGTTTGGTTAAAGCAAAACCAAAATCCGAACGCTTAAAAATATGGGCTGAGTTCTATTCATTGGAGGTTTTTAGCCGGAACCCGAAAAACCGATATGCAAAACCGAAACCCAAAATAAATCCGAACCCAAAAAATCGAAAATGTATATAATCGAATCGATTTCGGATAATCCGAAAAACCGAACCTGGACACCCCTAATAACCACTTTCGACCATACCCATTTAGATAGCTCAAAGTTATCGTGCCAAAGGGCCCCATCAAAGTATAAAAATCCAAAAGCCCACTTGGAAAACGAATATTACCAAACCCAATCCGCTCAATTATTGGCCATCCACAAACCACAAGTCCACAATCGAAAAGGAAAAGTAATTTGGTTTAAGTGGCTAAATAAAAAGGAAAAAATAATTCAATTAAAATAAACAGCAATAATTTCCCCGCGGCCAACCGGCCACCATTGATCCGTTGCTTTCTCAGCCTTTGACTCCGTCAATAACAGAGTTTCCGATTCCGTCGCGAGCAGCCCAGGACATTCCAGCTCCTTCTAGTCTAGTCTGCGTAAACCGTCGTCGTATTTGACTGCAACCCGCCAACTAACGCCGTGAATGCCCGCGAGAAGGAAGTCAGGAACAAATTAACTTTCCCGGAAAAATATAAAACAAACAAACGGCATAATAGCCATCAACGGCGTTAAGTTGGGCCCTCGTAATCATCGAGAGAGAATTCCAACTTCGAGACGGGAGTGGAGAACAAACGTGTCGCCTTTCCATTGGTTGGAGATTACCGAGTCGGCCAATCTCCCTGCTATAAATCGAACCCCCAATTCACCCCTTTCTTCACCACAATTCAATCTCAAACAAACTGATCTTCCTAATCAATCTCCGATTCAGAGCTTTCTTCTCAAACTCTCAAGGTAAAAGATCTTGAACTCGATCCCTTCTCTGTCTTTCTGTTCTTGTTTCTCTTAGAATTCTGGTTTCTCGTTTATTCGGTGAAAGAAGCGTTCGATCTAAGAACACCAGGGTTTCTTCGTTTCGTTCGTCAATCCAATAAGATAATCGGGAAGGATTCTGGATATTGGAATTAGGGTTTATTCGTTCTCTGTTTATTTTGATAGTATTCAATCATATAATCGCGAAAAATTCTGGATTTTGGAGTTAGGATTCTTCCTTCTGTTTGTTTGATCTCGTATGTTGAATCTACGCCTGCCCGTCCATCGATTTTGGTAATTCTTTGCTGGATTGCTGAATTAGGGTTATTCGATTTTCTGGTTTACAGATGCAGATCTTCGTTAAGACTCTCACCGGGAAAACTATTACTCTCGAGGTCGAGAGCAGTGACACCATCGACAATGTTAAGGCGAAGATCCAGGACAAGGAGGGGATTCCTCCGGATCAGCAGCGGCTGATCTTCGCCGGGAAGCAGCTGGAAGACGGGAGGACCTTGGCGGATTACAACATCCAGAAGGAGTCGACCCTTCACCTGGTTCTCCGTCTGCGTGGAGGCATGCAGATCTTCGTCAAGACCCTCACGGGAAAGACGATTACTTTGGAAGTCGAGAGCTCCGACACCATTGATAACGTAAAGGCCAAGATCCAGGACAAGGAGGGGATTCCTCCGGATCAGCAGAGGCTGATCTTCGCTGGTAAGCAGCTGGAGGATGGAAGAACCCTCGCTGACTACAACATCCAGAAGGAGTCGACCCTCCATCTCGTTCTGAGGTTGAGGGGAGGTATGCAGATCTTTGTGAAGACCTTGACTGGGAAGACCATCACCCTGGAGGTTGAGAGCTCCGACACCATCGACAATGTCAAGGCGAAGATCCAGGACAAGGAGGGCATTCCTCCAGACCAGCAGAGGCTTATCTTCGCGGGCAAGCAACTTGAGGATGGAAGGACCCTTGCTGACTACAACATTCAGAAGGAGTCTACCCTCCACCTTGTCTTGAGGCTCAGAGGTGGTATGCAAATCTTTGTGAAGACTCTGACTGGCAAGACCATTACTTTGGAGGTGGAGAGCAGCGATACCATTGACAATGTCAAGGCTAAGATCCAGGACAAGGAGGGCATCCCACCAGACCAGCAGAGGCTCATCTTTGCAGGAAAGCAGCTCGAGGATGGCCGAACTCTGGCCGATTACAACATTCAGAAGGAGTCCACCCTCCATCTGGTGCTGAGGCTCAGGGGAGGAATGCAGATCTTTGTCAAGACCCTTACTGGAAAGACCATCACTTTGGAGGTCGAGAGCAGTGACACCATTGATAATGTCAAGGCCAAAATTCAGGACAAGGAGGGTATCCCACCAGACCAGCAGAGGCTGATCTTCGCTGGCAAGCAGCTTGAAGATGGAAGGACTTTGGCGGACTATAACATTCAGAAGGAGTCCACCCTCCACCTTGTCCTGCGTCTGCGTGGTGGCTTCTGAAGGGGTCTACTTCTTGTTCCGGAGTTGCTGTCGCTGTGTCTGTGTCTGTTGATGATGGCTCTGAAGGTTGTTGGATTTATCATGGATGTTTGAAGATTGTTTTTTAAGTTTCTGGTGTTCATGAGGTAGCCTAATGGCTCCTCAAGTTTCAAGCTTTGTTTGTTTCAGTTCTATGTTGGCCCTGGTGGCCTTGTGAACAGCTATTTCTCTTTCGGTTTTCTGTTGAATAATAATGTCTGGAAGTATTTCGTGTTTATGGTGATTTCTCTTCATTTAGATCCTCACGGTGCATGATTTCTGCAACTTAGCTTACTAGTCCTCTGGATCAATGAACTTCTAGTGTTGTGTTCTCAATTTGCCATGCAACAAGAGCTTGGAATCACGACTTGTAAAAGTATTGATCTACTGTCGATTGAAAACCAAACAACCTCACAATTCCTGATGCAGTTGAATCTTAAGCTACACAGTCTGCTGAAAACTTGTTTAAGTCTCGAAGGTGAGATGGTCAAATTTTGATATTCTTTGGTTGGGTAAATGAATGTCGAAAGCATATTTTGATTAGGGCGCCATCTGGATAATGATCAAATAGCTATCATGTAGTCACTTTCACAAAGTTTAGGGAGACAATAACCCAACAATGGCCAAAGAGCCACTCCATTATCTTTTTTTAACAGGTACCATCCTCCTGGTAGAAAGAGGCTTCGCTTTTCCAAGAAGGGTCTCCTTCATCCAACTGTCCGAAAGCTGGAAACTTTGGCTAAACAAAAAGAGGCTCGCTCGCCTGTCGGTCAAAACCTACCATTCTTGCTTAGACTCCCATACCTTGCTTTCTATTTAGTAGTAAGAGTGACACTCGAGTTGCACAGACAGCAAAAGCCTTCCTTTTCTTACAATTCAGTTTTCACAATCCTTCCTGCTCACGGATTGTTTCCATATGGCCGACTCCAAGCATTCTACCTCGCCTTGTCGTGATGCTTTAGACAATCCTCAAGGTGACCAAGTTTGAGACGTTGGTTAATATTCTCACTGGTGTTATCAAGTCTGATTGGTTGCTCGTTCCTCGTTGTCAGTGCTTGATACAGAGATGGAACAGAAACTAGAGAAAAAGATCGAGTTCTCGGACGATGAGGAGTCTCTCATAATCAGGATGTACAATCTTGTTGGAGAGAGGTGTGTTTCCTCCATCTTTGCGGCCTCGGTTTAGGACAAATTACCAATCACCTTACCTCTATTTCTTTGGAGTTGTTCATGCAGGTGGCACCTGATCGCAGGAAGAATCCCTGGAAGAACAGCTCAGGAAATTCAAAAGTACTGGAACTCCAGATACTCCACAAGCGAATGAAGCCCAAATGCATGTGCCTTCTGTGTAAGAGACCTTGTTGGACTAGCATTTTCGCCGATAGTTTATTGAATTGTCAATTACGGCTAAGGAACAGAACATGAGTTCCATTGAAAATGAATTAAGATCATCATCTTTACAGCTACAGTTTGATATCATGTCAAGTACACTAGTTACAAGGTGGTTTCAATGCATCAATCGAACTCGCAAATTATCCGACACGCAAGCACGAAAAACAACCAAGTTGTATGATTTGTCTCCGTTGCATCGCTTGAGCTTGTAGCACATGTTATTCCCCAGGTTCGGATCATACATTGCTCTGTTTGTAAACCTTCGTGTCCAAGACTTGCTTACCGCACATTGCACAGACTCCTGAGAAACAACATCCATATACCATCAGTTGCTCAGCAGTGCACAGAGCAGAAAATATGAACCACGAAAGGAAATTGATCAACACTTCAAAAGAGTATTGATGCGGCTTCGATAACTAACATACCTTTGGTATAGGCACAGGTGTGGCAGTACTTGGCCTCCTGGTGCGTTTGTTGCTTGCAGATCATGCACTTGGTGTTTCCATAAGGTGTCCATCTGAAACAAATACATTTACTGAGTTATTCATCTAAACGGAACAAACACATTTGCAGTGCTCGGAAGATTTTGGCCAAATGATTTGAAAGATCTGCTAAAGATGACAACTTTAGACACATTCCCTTTAACATACACAACAGGTAACCAGCATCAACCTATCCTTCCTGATTCCTAGACCGGCAATTCCCAAGTCGTTCATTTGGGACGCCTAAGAATCGAGTTACGAACATGGTAACTACACATCAAGAGAAGAACTGAACGTTGTGTCAGATGGCCCGTGATTAGTGAGAGCCCCATGACAGTAGAACCTGAATCTCTCAAAGCTGCTACTATTGACACTAAGGGAAAGGGGCTACCCTCGAGATTAAGTTACTTGAAACTTGTGAGCTTCCCCCTTCTCTAATGAACATTGGTAACGCTAAAGCTAAGACGAAATTAAGCCTGTGCAGGGTAAACCCCAGAGAAGGAAGGAAAGAAAAAAGCCATACCGGTTTTTCTTGGAGAGGAGCTTGTTCTCGTTGATCTTCCGGCCGCCGCTTTCGTAGGTGTTGGAAGCTCCTTCCTTCCATTTATCGGGAACTATCACCTTCGTCAGCTTCTTCTCGCCTGAATCAAAACAGAATTCCATGAAATTGCAGCCTCAATCTGAATCAAAATCGCTGGAAAGGGAAGGGGGGGAAAGAAGATTTACACTTGGCGCAAACCATCCTCGGAGACCAATCTCTTTTCTTCTCTCTTCTTGCCGGAACCCCAAATCGCCAACGGCCAATCCCTAATCACAATCCGCCGGAGAATCGGAGAATCCCAGGAAAAAAGATTGTTACAGTGAGGAGCTGAATTGGCTGAACTAGCCCCGGGAAAAGTTGTTACTCTCCGAGTTCGTATCCGGGTCGGGTAGTAACTAACAACAAAACGGGTATTGGAGCGCTTGGCCCAACCAAAAGCCCATACTTAGCATGATAGCATCTCTCGACCCACCTGCTAATTTCAGTGATTATCACAAAAATCGGCTTATCATCTGGCGGTCACTCTGGATAGACGAAGGGGGCGCTGGAGGGCAGGGGTAGATTGGATGGATCGTCAGAGCTGGATTCGCCTATGGGGGGCAAATATACAGCCAAAATTAAAGGTGTTTCTCTGGCAGATTTTCCGTCGAATACTGCCTACCACTGAGGCCTTACGGGAAAGAAAAGTGGGGGTTTTGCCTCGTTGTCCGATATTCTGGGAGGAAGAGGAGACTTTGGAGCACTTATTTTTGGATTGCCCTATAGCTAGAGCCCTTTGGGGTGCTGCGGGGTTAGAACATATCGGGGAAGGGTTGCCGCGGCACTCTTTTCCTCTGTTTCTTAAGAAGGTTCTGAACCTCATCCAGAGTCCTGAGGTGTTCATGGCCATAGTAGCTGTCCTCTGGCGTATTTGGCGGTCACGTAATTGGGTAGTGTTTGAGGGGAAGCAATTTACGGTAGAGGTGTTGACGCGCCAGTTTACTCAGCAGTATGAGGAATGGGTAAACCTTCCGGTGGATAGGGCGAATGCTGCCCAGTCCGAGGAGGAGGTGCATCCATTGAACCTAGGTGAGGAGCCGGGAGTAATTTGTGGTTGGGATGGGGCGGTTAGGCGTGGTTCGCATTCCGCAGGCGGTGTGGTTCTAATGACTACAACCCGGGAGCTCATAATGTCGACTGGGTTCTGTTTCCCTGTTATTGATGATCCGCTGGTGGTGGAGCTTCTGGTGTTACGGGCTGCGATTCGCTGGTGCATTGATCTGGGGCTCCCTAGTGTGCGTTTCGAGGGAGATGCCAAGGGTGTTATTGAGAAGATTCGTCTGATGGATGCTAGTGATGGCAAAATTGGGGCAATATTGGAGGAAGTAATGCGTTATTTTGCTTGCCACCAAGGGTTTTCTGTTCGGTTTATAGGTCGGCGTGCCAATAGGGTAGCCCATTTAGTGGCTCGAAAGGCCCTCTCTCTGTACCCGGCTATGTACCGTCACTTTGATTTTCAGACCTGGCTGCTCTCCAGGATGTAACTATCTGTTTGATCTAATATATGATTACCTTTTGTCAAAAAAAAAAAAAAAGCATCTCTTGACCAACCTGCTCATTTCAGTGGTTATCTTAGTGTGACATTTCAGTAGGAGACCTTTTGAAATAAATTCGTTACGACTCCATTTTGCAAAACAATAGTCATGACATGAATCTAATATGTTTCAAGAAATCTCTTATACATATATAGATATATGGTGGCATATTCGGTGCACCCATTTTTTTGGATGCACTCAGTGCACCCGCCTTATAATTGTCATTATGAGCATGCGATTCATGTCAAAACGATATCAATTGTTGCTTGTGATATTATGAACAAGAAGCACATGAATTTGGAAAAAAATCAATCAAAATTTACTTTAATTCAAAGAATTTAGGATTTAGGGATTTGGGGTTAGGGTTTAGGTTTACAATTTTGGATTTTGGGTTGGGGATCAAAATTGAAGGTTAAGGGGTTAGGGTAATATATTGATTTGTTATGATTCTATGTCATATCATCATATTAGATTGAGAGTACTAATTAAAGTTCGAAATTTTATATATTATGGACACTTTTAAAATTGAGTGTACTGAGTGCACCTAAAAAAGTGAGTGCACCGAAGTAGCCACTATATTTCAAGAAATCATTTTACTCAACTTTATATATATTTCGTGAAGTTTTCGGCTAACAATATCGACCCAATCTGTTGAAGAGATTCAAACTCGAGTTGTTCAAAGCACGACCAAAAAATAATAAAACTAATTCTTTAATCCATAACATTGGGCTACTAATCATTAAACAAATAATAATGAAATAAATAATGATAGAACAAAGGGAAAAAACATCCAAAAAATACAAATCCAAAATTACACATTTTACACAAAAGTCTACTAAAAACGCTGTCGTTTCTTCTCCAAAAAACCATCTCTCACCGCCGGCCAGCCGGCCATCCCCTTCTTTCACTCCCAAGGGCTCATCGAACACTCCTCCGGCAGCGTCGGGAACCTCTCGGTATCCTTACAGTAATCGTACACCACCAGGTTCCTCTCCACCCACGCGAAGTCCATCTTCTGCGCGTCCGACAGGTGCCACGCGTCGTACTGGTCCCACCAGTTCTTCGTCGTCGTCGAGACGCAGTCCGGGTACGGGTCGACCCACTGGCACCCGTCGACGCTGAAGTCCTTGTACGCCGACACGAACGGCGCCTTCTTCCAGTCGGTCTTCTCCAGCCCGCCGCGCGTCGCCCAGTCGTCGGCGTTCCAGATGCTGGAGAACAGGTACATCGGCTTCTCGTTGGGGAAGTAGTTGTTCGGCTTCCCGTTGTTCTTCATCACCCGCACCGGCACTCTGTCCACGAAGAATCTGCAATGTAATTTTTTTATTCTCGTTAGTAATTGATTGAATTCAATTAACAAATCGAGATCGAGATAGTTAAGGCAGTCAAAATCGCGTTTTAAATTTTGAAATTGCGGAGCTTACACTAGCTGATGGTCGTTCCAGAGGATGGAGTAGGTGTGGAAGTCTTCGGTCGGGTCGAACCAGAGGGCGTGCCTCATCTCTCGGTTCCCTGTTCCGTTCTTGTACACATTGGTCTGAATCAGATACGGTTCGCCGGTTCGATTCCCGAGGAATTCAATGTCCACCTCGTCCCTCGTTGGCCCTGCCGCTGTCTCTGTGCACATCTGCAAAATCGGTTCAATTCACATTAATCGAACCGAAAATCAAACCGTTCGGCAACTCGACCGACTCAGTGAGGGGGAAAAAAAGAGAGAGAAGTGACTCACGTAGTAAGCCGTGACAACTCCGGCCGAATCGCCGCCGACCAGCTTCAATTTCATGCTGAACCACCCGAATCTGTAGCTCTGCTTCGTCTGAAAACCGCACCCTGTGAATGACAAACCAAGTTAGTGTAAAAAATCGATACGATTGGGTCAAATTGAAACCCACAAAATTAGCTACCAAAATCGTAATGACATCTTTTTCTTCTTTCTAATAATGTGGATGGCGCCGAACTCACAAACAATGTGATGTGAAAATCGAATCGTTGAGATAAATGATTACGAAATAACTATAAAACGCGAATGAATAATACGAATATACGATATGATTTCACAAGTACTATCGGATAGATGGGAAATGGTCAGTAGAGTTTGGTTACATACCTGTTTGTTTGTCCAAGGAGAGGTACCAGATCTGGCCGTCTTCGGACGTCTTGAAGTGTTCCTCGGAGAACATGATGTTGAAATTGTCCTCGAATGCGCCTTTCGCAACCGCCCCTTCCGCCGCCGGAGCGGAAGGAGATGCCAGGACGGCGGCGATGAAGAGAAGAGCTGCTGCTGCCGCCGGAGAAAAAGCTCTTCTCTCCATTTTTCTCAGAATGATCTCACGGAAAGAAGCAGAGAAGTGAGATGGGAATGAGGGATATGAGACAGTAGTGAGAAAAGTATTAAAAGGCAGAAAGCACATTTCGATGTCCCCCCCACATGGCTCGAGGGGCAAAACGGGGAAATCAAGTGTGGTTGTATTATTGTTCGTAAATAATTGAGGCAAGTGATCGGACGTTGCCGAATTTGCCCCTGGAAATAATGTACAGCCATATGGTAGAGGTGGGTGGAAATGACGAGCTTAGCCTTCTTGTTTTATTATTCTGTGGGACCCATGAGGCCAGGCTGGCTGCTCTCATTGGCTGGCGCCCATGAAGAATGTGAAAGAGTGGGAGGTGGGTGGGACCCATATGTTCCATCTAGGGACTCGTCGACTAGACAACTTCGAAATGTTTTTTTTTTTTTTTTTGGGTAAGAATGTTTACTTTAATCTAATTTGCCGATTTACGTTTTAGTCTTCTCAATTTTTTATAATAAAAAATATGTAAAATCCTATCCTAGATCAAAATCGAGAAATTGACATTTCAAAGTATTATGAAGATTATAATTGTTTAGAAAAATTTACAAAAAATTATATATCCCTACCGATTTAACTGATAATACATGGTTTGACTAATATGATTGGTGGATGTGCTATTACAAATACTAAACTTAATACTTTTATCAAATATATAAAAACAATGACCACCGTATAAAAGTAAATATATATGATAGATTAGTTCTTTTACTTTCATATTTTCATTGATTCATTCTAGATCTTCTCTTCTAACATTATATATTGTCGTAATAAGAATATTAGTCGAGTTGCTAAATCTCCTGCATAGGATTCGGAATTTTACTCCCTCATAACTAGATTCAAATCTTCCGATTTTTATGTTATAGTTAGGAACTTGTTCTGTTTGCAAGCCACTAGCAATGAAATGATAATTTCTTGTAAAAATCCATTGATCTTGTCTTTCGATTAGGGGTGACAAACGGTAAGTCGGTAATCGATTTACTGTTTTACCGAACCGATAACCGATGATTAACGGTAAACCGATTATCAACGGTATCGATAGTAGAGTGTGAAATGGGGAAGTTCAATATACCGGCCCCAGTTACGATAATTACCGACGGTTAGTCAGTAATACTGATACCGGGGACCAGTGCGCTGCATTTTGGCCAACATCCCTCCAAACCCTAAAAGCGAATCCCTAATCCCTTCGACCCTTCCCTTCGTTTCCACTTTCATCGCCCTCTCCTTCTCCTCTCAACTTCTCTTGTCTCGACCGACTACCACCACGCAGCCCACCAAAATCGAAACCCAGCCAGACGAGCGACCGCCACCTTCCTCGCCACCTCCTCCTGTGCCTCTCGGAAAAATCAAAATTTTACAACCTACCCCTGCCCAAAATTTCGGTTTGGTAATTTACCGGTAAACCGAATTGAAACCCATCTGCAACCCCTCCTCGCGGTAAATTGGTAAAACCAATTTGTAATTGTTTACCGAACATTCGGTAACCGGTAACGGTATTCGATCTCCCCTCCACCATGATCGGCATACCATTTATCGGGTCGGTCGGTAATCGGTTTACCGATTACCGACCGATTGTCACCCCTACTTTCGATGACATACGATAATCCATTAATCTTGGTTCTAGGTAATAAATACGATCATTAAAAAACAAATTAACAACAACCTGAATAATAGAAAGTAAAGAGGGTAGATCTATAAAATACATTCACCAGGAACCACCAAGTAAAGCATGCTGTTTGTTTTTTATTGGATTTGTGTAACATGGTATATAGTTGACTGTTGCGAAGTCTACCATCGAGAATTCGATTATAGCCGTTGCATGCTTTGGTCCTAATTTAATTGCTAGCCACTTCTTAGTTGACTAATCACGGTCCACACTAATAAGTAATTTTATCACAAATTTATGATAATATTGGTTGAAGATGGCCGAGAAAGACTATAGTAGTTTTAATGGAGATGGTTATTTCCTTATTGGGTGGCTTCCATGAGAGATTTCATGCCGACCTTTCTCCAATGATATAGGGTTCATAGATAATACTATATATGTTAATTTGATTATGAAGTGTTAGTTGTTTATTATGGTAAGTGTTCTTTCAATGTAATGGTAACTAATAGAAACAGAAGCCACAAAGTTTTGAGTATTTTTTATAGATAAAACTATGTTATGGGTTTAGAAAACTAAGCCAGCTTTTGTAAATACCAATTAGTAAATGGTATATGATTCATAATTGAACATCTCCTAAAAACGTGAGTTATTAAGATTAAGTGGTTCTTGATATGGTACTAGAGCATTTTGTGATCGATAGGTTTTTTGTTCTAATCCCGATGACCCCCATCGGTTCTATTAAGCACATGATGCATCTAATGCTTCTGCAAACTTCAAACTCATATACATTAGCGATTTTTATTTTAGGGGGTGTGTTGAATGATATATGATCCATAATTGAACCTCTCCAAACAACTAGAGTTATTGAGACAAACTGGTTATTCACAATTTGGACCATGTAAGTGCAAGATCGATCTATCGCTTATCGACAACTAAGCGAAATGAAACATGTTTAGTCTTTCTTCGTGGAGAATGAGTACACATTCTCGATATTATAACTGTCCTCTTACAAGTTATGACTTAATTATGAGAGTATATGTATTGGACGTCTCTATTGATCTAGGTCATAGTTAACTTCTCAGGCGCGATAGATCTCAATCGTTCCTCAAAGGTTAATAAGACCATTAATCCTTTTGAAACATGAAATGTTAATTATTAACAAATAAACTCTAAATTCATCATGTTGATTTCAGAAAGTATAACAAAGGGAACGACATTATTGGCGTAGTGGTGGGACGCATTTTGGTTGTTTTTTTTCTTCTTTGGGACTATTATTTTTATAAGCATAAATGCACAATAATAACTCGTAATTATATAATAATAATAATGTTAATAATTATCATATACACAGCTAATATCCAATGCAATCTCACATGAACCCACTAGCGTCGCTCACGTGTTAATTGGTAGTAGGGGACGTCGGTGAGTACAGAGGATTAAAGAATGGTGCCCCCAAAGCTGATTAATCTTCTTGTCTTATTTGGAGACATGGGCTCTATATTATTGTTATGATGTCTGGTTTGTAGCAATCAACGCCCACCAGGAGATAGCAAACTCGTTAATGTCTTCAACTTAGAATGGTCTCTATTCTCTAATAAAGATGCGAGGTAGCAGTGTTGAAAACTTGAAATATATAGCAACAAAGCAAATTTGCATATGCTTTTCGACCTTATCCCATTCCTTAATTTGTATTCTTATTTAGTACGAAATTATCAAAATTATTTATGCGTCTCACCTTGCTATGCAAATTCACTTTGTCTGAACCCAGATCATGTGCAATTGGATACGACACAAAACTCTTTTGAAGAAAAATTATAAATAATAAAATAAATAAAACAAGCCACCCATTGAATGCGCACGAAACTGGTATTCTCAAAAATATTTGTTTGTTTTGCTGGTGGTAAATGGAGAAACAAAGCCTTAAGTTGCAAACTTGTTTCATGAATTTGTGTTGACAATTAAATACATTTTGTTGTTTCTATATCAGCATGTAAGACAGTTTGGCCGAGTGGTCTAAGGCGCCAGATTTAGGCTCTGGTCCGAAAGGGCGTGGGTTCAAATCCCACAGCTGTCACTTGTTTTGTGAATTTCGTTTTAAGCTGTGATTACTGAACACTGCCAGAGTGCCAGTCCAACTCCCACATGGATTTACCGGTTGTCATAAGCTGTTGTGGGCTTGGGCTTATAATCTTACCATATTTACAAAGGCCCAAGTAATGACGCCGGTCAAAATTTTTCCCTCTTTCCAGTAATATCTGCAAATCGATGAACCAAAAAAGGAACTGGATTGGATCAATTAAGAACATATGACACTGGGACAATGAGTGTCATCAAAACTTTACAATTAGTCTATGTCTGAGTGTAAAATTTTGTTAATCTAAATCGTTAGGCGAACTCTTGATCCGTTTCAATTTATAAGATTTTTTAAAAACTATAATATGGGGTCCCTAAATCCAAATAATTGATAAGTTGGTCTCACCTTTAAAAAGGTAAGATATTTCATAGATTGTCTTTTTTTGGTGGGAAATGGATATTTTATAGATTGATGGTGAGTTGGTGACAGGCGGGGATTATAAAAGATTAAAAGCGTGACATTTTCATAAAAGAAACAAAATCAATGGTCACTAAAAATTTCACCAAAAAGAAGGTTCAACAGAATTTTGGATCAATAGCGAATCGGTGAGTTTATTGAACTTTGATTTCAATAAAATATATAATTAAGAATTTAAAATAGAATGACATATAAACCAGTCACTTCAGTCTCCATGTACTTTTGTTTATTTCTTTTACATTAGTATCCGTATTAAGATATTGAGACACCGAATTTGATAACCTAAAATGTCCAATGCATACTAATTAGTTAGTTGAATAATTTATTTTTATTTGGATGCAAATCCAACCCGTGTGTTTTGTAAACAACATACATTACGTGATATATTGTTAGATTCTTAGTAATTAGATCAATGTAATACTTGTTTATCATCAACTCGGATGCTTCTATGAACTCAATTTCGAAACATGCGAGAAATTAAAATTTAACAAATTAACTGAGCGAGTGTTATATAAGTATGTTTAAAATTGCTGACCAATTTTATTTATAAACAAAATTTTTGCTAAATTTTTTGTAATCTAGAGGTTAATAAATTGGGATTGAATTAAAAATGACTTAAATGGAAGAAAGGAAATTACCTTCGAATGACCAAGGCTGGTAGCTGTTGGTGACAAGTCAGGTGGCCAGCGACAAAATATAGAACTGTCTCATTTCATCGGACGACAGTTGTGGAGTAAAGCCACTTGAATCCAACGGCGCCCCTCATTAGACATTATCGCGTACACAAACATGTGTTGTATTCGTACAGTATACGAGAGAGAGAAAAATCAAAAAAGAGACAGTAATCGTATTTATAGAACCGTATTTTATTTTTCTATCTGTCCGCATGCATGCACGCAATGCAGTCAAAAGCGAGTTTCTATATAGAAACGTTTTGGTGATCTGGAAGCGTAAAATCGTAAGTTTTTAAGTTTTAAAACGGAGTTTTTAACTACATAAGTTATAAAAACTAAGATTTTGTGTAGAAACGTTTTAGTGACCCGGAAACGTAAAATCGTAAGTTTTTAAGTTTTAAAACGCGATTTTGACTACATTGCATGCACGCACTTGGTTTGTCGTCTCCCGTAATCAACGCATTCACGAGTCTGACTGGATAGCCGACTCAGCTGAGCCCTTCGAGCCGGAAACGGACACGTCAGCCCGCCGAGACCCGAGAATTGCTCCTCCACTTCTTTTACCTGCCCTTAAGTCAAGTGCCCGTAGATATTTTTCAGTTCAGTGCAGATATTTTGGTAAAAAAAAGCTTGAATCATCACTAAACGATAAGTTAGGATTTTACTACAATGCTCATAAATTTTAACAAAACCTAGCCTAGCTAGACTAAGGAAAGTTAGCATTTTCTTCAAATCCCTCATTGTTCAATGACCATTTTATGACAAACACCATAGTTTAATGACCATGCCATCATTTACCCACAGATATTTTCCCCACTATGGCACTCCAAATGCTTGTATAAATTCCCCTTCTAAACCACTCCCTTCTCATCATCACCTTCTCTAAAAAAACCTTCCCTCCTTATCTCCTCAAACACCAATAATCTTTCTCCCATGGCGTCCACCATAACCTCCACCTTCAAAACCCCTTTCCTCGACACCACCAAGTCGTCGTCCTCCTTCCATGGCGCCCCGATCCCGACCTCCCGCTTCTCCTTCACACCCACCAAATCCTCCTCCTCCGCCGCCCAAAACGGCGCCGTCTCGATGTCCATGGCCACCCCGCCGTACGACCTCAACTCCTTCAAGTTCGCGCCTATCAAAGAATCCATCGTCTCCCGCGAGATGACGCGCCGCTACATGACCGACATGCTCACGTACGCCGACACCGACGTCGTCATCGTCGGCGCCGGGTCCGCGGGGCTCTCCTGCGCCTACGAGCTCAGCAAGAACCCGGACATCCGGATCGCCATCATCGAGCAGTCCGTCAGCCCCGGCGGCGGCGCGTGGCTCGGCGGCCAGCTGTTCTCCGCCATGGTCGTCCGCAAGCCCGCACACCTCTTCCTCAACGAGGTCGGCGTCGATTACGATGAGCTCGAGGACTACGTCGTCATCAAGGTAGTTAAACCACTCAACTCACTGATTTTTACCATTTTTACCTTTACTTGTTTTTTTTTTAAAAACTAGTTTTACCATTTTTCTTGACTTTTCGATGTTAATTTCACTGCAAAATCAAAATAGATGGACCTAAATTAGGTAAGTTAATAACCTAATTTGTTTAGAGTCACAATATTTTACTATTTGGTCATTGTAATTTTTATTACTATTTTGCCATTTTATCTAGTGACTAGTGGTAATAGTAGTCACTGAAGTTAAAAACAAGTTGTCAAATCGGTTTAAACCACTGAATTGGTCAAAGTGGTGATAGGGGTCCAATATGTTTGAGTCGTTTTATATAATTTTTAAAATTAATATACAATCTAGGTAATAATTTAAAAATATAATGACTGAAATGAAATTAGAAATTTTACATTCAAGTATATATAACAAATTAAAATTCTAATCTCATTTCATTCAGCCATTCCATTCCAAATTGTCAACATTTTATTGTCCGAAACCCCGAAAAAAAGTGATCCAACCACCAATTTTTTTTTTATCTTGACCAATTTTATCGAATTTGATCGACAACCGACTAACACCTAAAATGGCTTGCCAGAGACCGTTTTCATGATCGATTCTGATCGAACCTGATCCAAGCAATCGGGCTGATAGTGGTTTGACACCCTTGGTTAAAAAGAAACAACTATAAATTTTTCTTAAGCCAAATTACAATTTAGTCCCTGAACTATCTTCTTTCAACAAATGCATCCTCACACTATGCTTTTGTTTTGTGATCCTCCAAAAGCACGCGGCGCTGTTCACCTCCACAATCATGAGCAAGCTCCTGGCCCGGCCCAACGTGAAGCTGTTCAACGCCGTGGCCGCGGAGGACCTGATCGTGAAGGGCGGCAGGGTCGGCGGCGTGGTGACCAACTGGGCCCTGGTGTCGATGAACCACGACACGCAGTCGTGCATGGACCCGAACGTGATGGAGGCGAAGGTGGTGGTGAGCTCGTGCGGCCACGACGGTCCGTTCGGCGCCACCGGGGTGAAGAGGCTGATGGACATCGGGATGATCGACAAGGTCCCCGGGATGAAGGCCCTCGACATGAACGCCGCGGAGGATGCCATCGTCAGGCTGACGAGGGAGGTCGTCCCCGGGATGATTGTGACGGGGATGGAAGTTGCCGAGATCGACGGAGCGCCGAGGATGGTAAGAAATTGGGTTGGGCGGATTTGGGTTATGGGTTTGGGTTGGTTTGGGTTGATGTTGATTCGGGTGGGTTTTTGGTTGGTTTGCAGGGGCCGACGTTTGGGGCGATGATGATTTCTGGGCAGAAAGCGGCTCATCTGGCGTTGAGGGCGCTTGGGGAAGCGAATGCGTTGGATGGAGTGAACAACGGGAAGGTGAAGCAGCCGGAGTTTGTTATTGCTGATGCAGGAACCGCCGGAGAGGCCGTGGATGCTTAATTAGGGGGGACTCGAGTGTAAAAAATAAAAAAAATGTGGAGGAAGAATAAAAGGAGGGAAGAAGAAGAAGCTAGAGCTAGTGTGTGAATGTGGTGTTTGCTAGCTAGTTGTTCCTTTCGGGTTTTGGAAGGGTGATGGTAGATAATGGAAGAAGAAGAGCTAGTGTGTGCCGAATCGAATCAACTCAACATTTTGGGTTTTTGAAGTTCTTTCATAAGATTTTAAAACTTCTCAAAGTTATAACGAATCGATTATATCTTAACAATAATTTCATAAATCACGATTAACGGTCTACACTCTAAGTTTCTGAACAAATACACCATCCCAATACTATAATTATTTGACTCTATATTAATCGGCATGACCTAAAACTAAGGATGTAAGTTTGGTTCTAAATATCCAGTGGTCCGATGTTGTCATGAGGATCAGTCTATCCTTTCATGTCTTTTCTAGTGCATTGTTAAATATACACAATTTTTACTATGCTAGATAAAATGACTCTTTTTATTTTTCTTATTTCTTCCTCTTCGAAAGTGACTTCCCAAATTGTCATAACAAGTTGTTGTAATTTTAGCTTAACTAGTCTATATCATGTGAGATATTTTTTTGGCACTTATGATTTGGGGCCATTGCAAGCCCGACCTTTCGAAGCGGGTTTGGAGTATCCAAATTTGGGACATATTCCTTGACGATTCCAACAAAAGAAACCACAACAAGAGTCATTTTCTTTGTAGGGTTCAAGTGGACCTAATTACTTGTCTGAACTTTGTTGGAAGTTGGAACGACTGTGGTCTTCACTCTCAGTGACTTCTTCAGTGAAGGTGATCCTCTCGATCTCAGAAAGGTTTCTACTTTCTAGATATGCAAGTTCGGTTTTATTTTCTTGAACCGACTTCGACACATCCATTGGTGTAGGCAGAAGTGTATGCATTATCCGATGTTATTTCTTCGATCACATATCATATCACTCTATTTCATCCAACAAGTTTTGAAAGCTCCTTAGTCCTTACTATTGTTCAATTAAGATCCAAAATAAGAATTACAACTAACTTTTTGGATCTCTATTCATTTGGAATAATGGGCAAAATCAATTCCTTGGTTTATAACTCGAGGTTTTATGAGATGTACCCAAGTATATATGGATCTCATCTAACTTATGCATCTTGTCAAGCACATTTTAACTAATGGACTTGAAATTTGCATGTGCCCACCATGCAAATTCAATGAGATGTAAAATAGTGATATAAAATTCACCATAAAATCTCTCCTAACAACTAGAGTTATTGGGAGAGCTTGCATAAATATTTAGGGCTTCTAAAGTCATGAACATGTCAAACACGAAACACCCAACAAATCAGAAAACATTACATAAAATACTTTATGATCATTAATTAGATTGTTTGATCTAACGGATGAAATTGATTTTAATCAACTTAAAAGGATAAACACTTGCTACAAATAACACATAAGATATGGCCGATGTGCCTCCATAGGTACTTGTACGCAGTTGTGCGAGTATAATCCGACCTAATCTGCATTGCGTGACATATATGAATATTAAAGTACCCAATCCAAAGGCATCATTAATTGTAGAAAAGGAAAACATTTTTACAAGGAAAGAAGTGAATCAGATGAAGAACTTCTTGGTTGTTGGAATCGCGTGAAACCGATTTCTCAATCCTAACCCTCTCAAATTCGTCAAACCCTCAAAGGGGGTCTCAATTCAAAGGCGTGTCTAGACCAGGGTGTACACGGGTTTCCTCTGATCCGAACCGGACCAAATTCACGAAAACCGTGATTTATTAGTAAAATATATCTAAGAACTAAGGACTAGAATATTATTGCATTCGATCTATTTGATCCGGTTCGGTTCGGTTCATTCAAATACCATTTCGGTTTATCATTTTTTTCGTAATTGTAAAATTCATGAGAACTAACAACCGAACCGCATTACACTCGATCCGGTACAGACTAGACCATTGCACACTAGAATAAACTAAGACTCCCTTCCCTCGGATGAAATAAGTCTGGGCCTTGTATACCCGATAGCAGAAACGGGCGGTCCTCGGACGGCCAGAAACCCAAAGCCATGAAGAATTGGCGCGGTTTTTGGGCCCAAGTAAAGAGAAAACAATAAAAGCCCACGAACAGACTAAAGGTCAAAGTCTTTTCCTCTTTAGCATTCCCAGTTTCCTACTCTCCCCAATCCACACTTCACTTCTCTCGCCGGCCAAACCAAAAATGGCGATCTCCCCAAACCTCTCCCGTTTCCTCTCCTTCTTCCTCCTCCTCACAATCGCCGCCGCCGATGACTCCGACCTAGTCGCCGACCTTTTCTCCCTGCGATCCCAATCCAAATCGGGCGTAATCCATCTCGACGACCACTCCATCTCCCGCTTCCTCACCTCCACAAAACCCCCTCGCCCCTACTACCTCCTCGTCTTCTTCGACGCTAAGCAGCTCCACGACAAGTCCGAGCTCCGCCTCCAAGATCTCCACCGCGAGTTCTCCCTCCTCTCCTCTTCCTTCATCACCAACAACCCCGACAACGACAAGCTCTTCCTCTGCGACATCGAGTTCAAAGAATCGCAATCCACATTCTCCCTCTTCGGCGTCAACTCCCTCCCCCACATCCGCCTGATCGGCCCCGATGTCAAGAACCCCAAGGAATCGGAGCAGATGGACCAGGGGGATTTCTCGAGGCTTGCGGAATCGATGGCGGAATTCGTTGAATCGAGGACCCAGATCTCAGTCGGCCCGATCCACCGCCCGCCGTTCATTTCGAAGACCCAGCTAGGGTTCCTGATCGCGTTCTTCCTCTGCTGGACGCCGTACCTCGTGAAGAAGGTCATCGCCGGGGAGACTGTGTTCCACGATTCGAAGGTCTGGTTGGCTGGTTCGGTTTTCATTTACTTCTTCAGCGTTTCTGGTGCGATGCATAATATAATTCGCAAGATGCCTATGTTCATGGTTGATCGGAATGATCCTAGCAAGCTGGTGTTCTTTTACCAAGGTTCTGGGATGCAATTGGGAGCTGAGGGGTTTGCTGTAGGGTTTCTGTATACTGTTGTTGGGTTGTTGCTTGCTGGGATGACTCATGGGCTGGTGAAGGTGAAGAATGTGACTGCTCAGAGGGTGATTATGATTGCCGCCATATTGGTCTGCTTCTGGGCTGTGAACAAGGTTGTGTATTTGGACAATTGGAAGACTGGGTATGGGATTCATACTTTCTGGCCTAGGAGCTGGAGTTGATCAAGGTGAGGTGATGTTAGTGACAGCCACATTTCGTTACAAGCTCTGGCATTTTCGAGATGGTGGTTGGAAAATGCGGATAGTGGTGAGTGATTTCTTGCTTTAAAGAAGAGACTGGTAGACAGTTTACCTTGATGGTTTAGAATGTACTACTGTCACTCTGCATCGAGCAGAGTTCTATGCTGTTTATGACTGGCTAATGCTTAGTATCGATGAAGGTTTTACATGTGGATGGAATTTTGGAACATTGATTACCTAGCTTTTTGGCTGGTAATGTTAGCACTCACTTTGAAGGTTTAAAATGTACTATTACTCCGCCCCGAATTGAATGGCTGCTCGCCAGGTTTTTTAGGGTTTTATCTCTTTTACCACTGACTATGCTCAGTACTTGCCAATAGTTTGCATCGATGTGGAATTTTAGCTGCGTTGTTGAACGCTTTGATCTTTGGTACTGCCCTAATGTTCTTGCTCTGAAATAATTATGCAGTTACCGGTCTTTTGGTTGACTTGCATTGTTACTAGATTCACCTTCTATTGTCTCCTTCGTGGTTGTGTGGACATGGAAGTGTGTTCTTCAATGCTGTGATTGTCCATGTAATGTGAATGGGAGAGTTGACGAGTGCATGTTAATTCAGACAGACCACATAGACTACGCTGATGGAAATGGTAGTTAAGAGTTAGTACTTAGTTGTGTGAAGTTATCATATAGCCCCAGAACTTAAGGTTATCAGAATACAGCCCTAGGGGAGAATTTGGAATCTATTGACTTTAACATTAGTTCTGCTTCTGCAGTTTAAAGTTTATCTATGCCTTCTTTTCTTGGCTACACCACAACAGAAACATCTTTATGCCTTGGGGTAATACCAGTATACCACCACGAAAACGTCGTTCGACTTTTGTTTTGGTTTGAAGCAAGTAAGCATTTTGTGTGTGGTATTCTCATGAACTGAATGCATGCTTATATACCTGTGTTTCTGGGTTGGGGATAGAGTAATGACAATTTCGATCTGACATGTTCAAAATCCATTAATGTTGAGCGGTTGTTTCCTGATACGTGAGGCGGGAATCAAGTCTGCTCTCTTCTGTCATCTCACTCTCTTCTGTTCATCATTGCTCTCCATCCTATCAAAAGCAAAGAAACTGGCCTGGATCGATTTCACAGTGCACGTGTGATTTCAATTCGATTTTGTTCCTTGATCTCTACTGTTTTCAACCCGATCTCATGTCAGATTTCGCTCGAAGCTAAAGGTGACTTATCATATTAGTTGTTCCAAATGGTTAATGACCCAGAATCTTGGTGGCCGTTTATTTAATAATCAAACCAAGCATACAATAATACACAAGCTTTGCGTAAGAACACAGCCGCCTGTGATTCTCTCTTCCCGTGAATTCACCCTTCTGCCCTCCCCTTTAGCTCCACACCACGACCAATCAACGAGGACAAATTCGTCAACCAACCCAAGCTCTGCAACTTTCCCTGCTCTGTTATAAGACCTTCCTTCCCTTGAATAACGCAGGTGGCGTACGAAGAAGGAGAAGCCATTAACGTTCCCATTCCCCGCCACACAGAGCAACATGGAAGAACAAGTGGAAACGCTGGGGAAGGCGTTCGTGGATCACTACTACCACCTCTTCGACGCGGATCGATCTTCCCTGTCGTCTCTTTACCAGCCTTCCTCCATGCTCACTTTCGAAGGCCAGAAGTTCGTCGGCGCCAACGACATCTCCGCCAAGCTCAATGCCCTGCCGTTCGACCACTGCAAGCACGCCATCAGCACCATCGATTCGCAGGCTGCTGCGGCCACCGGTGGCATCGTGGTGTTCGTCAGCGGCAGCCTGCAACTGCTCGGCGAGGAACATCCCCTCCGATTCAGCCAGGTGACGAAAACGGGTTATATCATATATGTTGCTACATAATAACCCTCTGAGTTTGAACTTTGACGCCAAATGTTAATTCTGCCGTCATGGGTTGTTCTTATTGCAGATGTTTCACTTGCTTCCGACGATCCATGGGACATTCTTCGTGCAGAACGACATTTTCCGTCTTAATTATGGTTGATTCTTGGTGTACTTATTCAGGCTATGATCATTATTCTTCTGTTGTTGTAATGTGTAAAACTTGACCTTGATTCTCTGGCAATTGGATATATGACGTTCTCTGGCTTTTCATGAGAGGATGAAAGCGAATAAAACGTCTCCATGATCTTAACTTGAGAGACTCATTTCCGTTTCATTTTCCTCTTAGGATTGCAATTTGCAAACCATTCTATCATCAGCATCTGCCTTTATGGGCGAGCACAGAGCACGTCGTTTTGTTATGGGCCAGATTCAGGCTTGATCTTGTGGGTAGTTGGGCTTTCCGAATGCTGGGCCTAAGGCAATAATTTTGGATCAAGAAGATGATCCCGGCCCAAACGAGCATTAGACGATAGCATAGAAGGAAAATGTGGAAATTTGACCTGATTTTAACTTCATTAATCATGTCTTCTCTATCTTATATAACAATATTGATCATGACCTCGCCTTGTGCGTCATTTATGCCTTCTCGATGCTCACTTTATCCGTTATCTTTGACAAGAAAATGACCGATATTTTGAATCAGACCGATGGTTCACCGAAACAATGTACTTCTTTTACTCAATCCTCACGACAAATGAAATTAAAAGCTCCCAAAATCGATCAATTTGCCTTTCCCTGCTAATTCAGGAAAAGACACTGCAAACATCAATTTGGATAGGCTAGGAGTGTGTCTCATAATCTCATTATAAAAGAGGAAATCCCAACAGAGAATGTTTCTTTCTTATATAACAATTAACAGACAGTACAGTGGCTTTATTTATGAGGTCAAATTTCTGTACATACATTCCTTCCTAGTGTGTGAGCTCAGCAGCTTACCTGGCCTGGAATGTCAATTTTGATAATTGGATTAAAATTTAATTATCACAATGATAAGTTGATAATAATTGATGAATGAATCACCAACAAAAAAGAAGACGTCACCACGAATGGCAGAGAAACAATGATAACAAAAATTATCGTTTGCAAAAATGGAATGTCAAGATATGCAGTTGCTTATAATAGTAATAATTAAAAATAAATAATATCAACCAACTCGGGGAAATTTCCAGTTAATTAATTAATTCTGAGCTTGCCCATTAAAAAACCAAACGTGGGTACGAGTAAGTGAGTAAACCTCTGTCGCATTACATGTCATGCTTAACCCCTAATTACATTTTTTTGAGAAACCCCTAATTACATTACATCTCCCCATAACACATAAATTAAACATATAAAAAAAAGGGATTTGGCAGAGAGGCAAAAAAAACTGGGTGGAAATTGTGAGTAAATAATATCTTTAAGCTCTTAAGATTTTGAGGATAAAATGAGAAGCACACTGCCATCTAATCCAAGCAATTTATTATAATTAATTATTCTTTCTTTGATTAAGCATAGTGATTATGATAGGGAGAGGTCATGTGGGTTGCACGAAAACCATTACACACCATAATAAAGGAACCCCCAGCCTGCCTCTGTCTCTGCTAGGGATGGCAATGGGTAGGGTCGGGTGCGGGTTTACCTTATACCAACTCCTAACCCGCCGGGTAGAGCCTTCTAAAATACCCGACTAAATACCCACCGGGTATGAAAATTATATAACCATACCCTACCCACCGGGTAACCACGGGTATTCGGGTAACCATGGGTATGAATCCTGAACTATGAACTTATACAAATATATGCACATACATATTGTTGTCCATTAAAAATCCACACAAATAAAAATAGCAAACACATAATAAATTTTCTTGCTTCTACAATCCACACAAACATAATAATCGTCTACATCTTCATCATCAATAATGGTAGCTAAACTTAATTTCTCAAGCTAAACTAAATTTCTCAAGGGAAATTGACCCTTTGATTAGCGGGGCGGGTATAACGGGGCGGGTATTATCGATTACCATACCCGTACCCTATCCTTTATTTTGAAACCGGGTATTACCCGTACCCGCCCCTTAACCCGTCAAAGCGGGTAATTACCCTCGTTGACCGGTTACGGTCGGGTAGGGTACCCATGGTTACGGGTAGGATTGACATCCCTAGTCTCTGCCTGACATCTCTCTCTCTCTCTCTTTTCCTTTAACTCTCACCCACCATGTGATTTGGACCCATTAAATGTATATTAGGTTATTACCATATTCTGAACTCGATTTCGATTAAGATGTTTATAGAAGTGGGAGCATGCCTTTGGTTGCCTCGATTCGCCTTCTGTATCTATACGTGTTGACTGTTGTGCCATTAGATTGACGAGTAGATTAGTTTATGACAATATCATTCTGTCGATCTAACAAACCAAATTACATTGACAAGACGGTCAAACGGTGTAAAGAAGGGGGCGTCGTAGCCCACAACTATAAGCATTGTGTTCTTATTTCTTACTCTTATATTTGGTAGGAGCATGGACTATTTGATTATACGTATGGTAGTTAATAAGTCATCGTTGTTATTGCCTATTCGACTAGGTAACTCAAATAAATAAAAAAAATCGAGCTCATCAAAAGTTGTTTTCGTACGTAGGTGACACTAATTAAACATGTAATAACTCAGACTGAGGTAAAAATGACTACTCGAAGCTCTTACCATTTGCTAACTCCAAAATGACAAATAAAAAATGGAGCATTAACAACAAACAGGACAAAACCGTATTGGGAAGCTGAGAGTGCGTTACAGTTGATTGAAACAAGTCAAGAACACAAACACAGTAACAGAGGGCTTAAACAATTAGTAAAACACACATAAATTAAAGAAAAGAATAAACAAACAAAACATCTTTTTGTTTGTCTGTTTACTCTGTTGTGCAAAGAAAAATAATGAGAAGATCTCTGCTTGAAAATCTTATGGACATAATTAATCAAATAAAGGTGGGATCTTTGAGCTAAACCCAGTCCATATAAAACCCTAACTCCCTCTCTCAATCCATTTGGCTCCCTTGTCAAAAAACAAAACCAGAAAGAAAACAGCTCTTTGACAGAAAATCCCCCCTTTCCCTGTCAAGCACAGCACCAACTAAAACTGAGAAAAACCCACCAACCCATTTTCTCTCTCACATACAGGCCACAGCCATATTTCATCAACATATTGATAAAATCAAAATTGGGAATTAATTAAAATAATTAGTTAATCCCTCCTCTTCCACTTTCCCTTCTTTTCTCTCATCTTGTCTTGCCAAAAAACCCTCTTCTTATATTATTTTACTTTCTCCCCCATTTTCCTCTGCCTTCTTCGTCTGCTGCTGAGCTTCCTTTTCTGCTCTGGTTCCCCTTCCGGGTCTTCTCTCTTTCAAGAGTTTTAACACTAAAATGGAGAAGGGAGCTCTGTCATATTGCTTGGAGGAAGGAGATTCTGAGTTGCTTCTCGCTTGAATCTTTCCTCATTACAGCAATTCCTCCAGAGGTATTTTGGTTTTTTTAAAACTTTAATTTGATGAATCATGGCTTCTTTCATGCCTATACATTCCAATCTTCATTCAGGGGAAAATAGCTTCTGAAACCACATGCATTGATGAATCTTTTTTTCCCCCTGTTCCCAAGCTCATTGGTACCTTTTTGGTCTTTTTTCACTTTGCTTGTGAGCAGGCAAAAGGAACTACACCCAATCTGTTGCCTCTCTTTTGTGTGGTTTCTGTGGCCTTCTGCAGCATTATTGCTTCAACTTGATTGCTTTTGGGGGTTGGTTTGATAAATGGGAACCAACAAGATTAAAGGGTTCTACAAAGGGTTCAAGTTCATCACTCAAATCTTTGGTAAAACCTCCCTTCTCTCTATCTCTCTCTTTCTTCATTGGTGTTCATTGAATTCAAGGATTCCTTATCCAATTAGGAGAATGTGTGTTTTCTGAATGAAACCTCGTGTGGGTTTCTTCCCGTTTTGCAGTTGTGAAGGAGAGAGAGCTGGAGATTGGGTTCCCAACTGATGTAAAGCATGTTGCTCATATTGGATGGGATGGTGCCTCTGGGAATCCACCCAGCTGGGTAAGTTCAATTTATATAGAAAAGTAGCGAATCTCTCCCATCTCCACCACCTCAATGATAAAAAAAAAGTTTTGATCTTTGCTTCATTTATGTGTTCATATAACAAATTAGTATACTATCTCCATTTTCCAAAATTGTTTGATAAAGAAAGTTTTGGTCTTTAATTCAATTGGGTTTACATAATATATATAGCAAATTATTGAACTATCTCCCATTTTCCCAACTTGTGGATTGGAAAAGTCTCGATCTTTAATTCATTTGAGGGTTGTCTTGGTTTCTTCTGCAGATGAGTGAGTACAAGACAGCTCCTGAATTCTCATCCTCGAAACCTTTTGGTGGAGCTAATGGAGTTCCAAGAGAGTCCAATTCCGTGTCTTTCTCTCCATGGTCCTCTCAAGGTAATTCAATATCAAATGTATCTTCTCTTTTCTCATCTATGGTGGTGAAATGGGGTGGGAAACCATCTGGTTCGATTCAGAGTCGGATTGAATTAGTACAAGCTCTAATAGAAATGAAGAGATAGAGGAAAGGAAGATCAAACCTGGGTCTCTGAAATGCATTCGATTAAGAATGGTATTAGCCTCTTTATGAATGGTTTGGGCAATTGTCTGGTCTGATCTGGAATCAGATCGAATCAATATGGAATGAAATAAAAAAATTGGAGAGGTATGAGAAACTCAATCTGGGTTTTGGGAATGCATGGATTCAGATTCCATCCATTTCTCTTTTACTCTTTTAAGTGATCAAAATGGCCTTGAATGGTGCAATGATTCAGATCGGTTCAATCTCAGTACCGATCAGCTCCGGTTCTGTCTGGTCTAAGACTGGATGGTGTCGCCCACCCATGAAAATGAAAATGTGATGCCATGTGCGAGGTTTGGATTTTGTGTTGAGAGAGAGCTCAACGGTTCGCTTTCAACTTAGTTGGATTCTTGTGTTGTTGAATGCAGAAAGTGTCCAAATTTTTAGGTTCATGGGAAGCTAAAATCTATAGCATACAAAAGAAAGTTATTGAAGACTCCTTGCGTCCAAATAGCAAAGAATTTGGCTGTTTATGTCACGGGACTATGCTTCCCTTTCACTGCTGAGAATCTACCTTAGCGTGAAACATTAAACAACAGTTTGTTTTTGTTTGGACCCTCCTTGTCTCACTTTCCACTTTCTAGTAGTAAGTATAAGCATCGTCTGGAAGTCATGTTCTTGAGTAAGAAACCTCGTGCAATGCCTCCAAGAACATGGCTTTCTTTTTCCTTTCTGAAACCTTTTGTTTACCCTTTTGCTCTCAATGTTTTTGGTTACAGATTTTAGCGAATCCATGGGGCTTCACCAGATGCCTGTGTCGACAATGTTGGATCAAACCGTACCAACTTCAGACCCACCAAGCATCCCAAAGAAGCAGAAGAGGAAAAAGAAGTCAGCATCGACGTCATCGCCTTCAAAGGGTTCATCGTCGTCTTCGATATCTAAGGCCTTACGATCATCCAAGGCTAATAAGGCCGTGTACCACGAGATGGAGCCGACCATGATTGCACAAGCTTAATTAGTAGCCCGATATGTCGAAGTGTTAAAGGAATGTGCATAGCAGGAAGAATGTGTCCTTTTTTCTCTCTTGGTGATCAAGGCTTCTGTAAATGTGTTGACAAAGTGTACTACAAACGTTGACCGGTGGAGTACTTAGGTTTGATTGTATAAGGGGACATAAAAAGTAATGTTAGGTGGTAAGTTCTACTCTTGAGGTTTACAAGAATGTGTTGTGAAACATTATTGTAAGGAATGTGGGTTCAAAGGTGAGAAATTTTGGAATTCAAATTGGTTGGAACGAATGAGGAAAACTCTGGTTGATGATTTCGATTGTGGTAGGGTTAGGAAGCTAGAAAAAAGCGTCTGGCTTGAGCAAGTTACCTATGGGCTTGTATAGTGTGGTAACATGTCATGCTTCTTTACAGTTTAGATTTAGAAGTGTATAATATGAATCAGGCGCTGGCTTTTGTCCATAAATCACAAATTCCATGAAGCTCCCGTGCCGAACACAACCAAATCTGCCGGACCGAACCGCTACACATCCCTAATTCTATTGCACGCGATCTCAAACAAAAGTTCAATTACCCCGCTTTAAATTTTTGCAGCCTTGGTTTCGATCTAAGTGCAAAGGAGGTTATATTTGTTCAAAATTCAGCTAGTCTTCTCCTCCTATTTCCGTTCGTCTGCTTCCTTACTTTACACTAGCATAGTACACCGGGCCCGTTGGCCGGATAAGCGCTTCTTGTATCATTTATATTGACCAAGTTATGATAATCGTTAGTGTTTGCATTCTTGACCGTGTTATATTGTTGTAATTTATTATTTGAGAAATACTTTTTACTATCGTGTGCAATCTTAATCATGAGATGTTGATATGTTATAGGTTAATTTGTTAACCAAACAAAAATAATATTTTTAAGTTCTTGACTAAATTAGTCACATGTTTATATTAAAATTTCCAACATTTAGTTCGTAGTTAATATAAAATCAAGTCTTCTGCAGAGATATATAAAGTCTTGATGAAGGATTTTTTTTTTCAAGATTGTGAATAAAAACACTTCCATTCATTGTCTCACACAATTTATATAAATCATTCTCTATGCTTGACCTAACACTCAACCAGTGATTGTTGTAATTATCTTAGGACATTATGAGTTTTTAAGTGAAAATGCACGATGATTAGGTAAAGTTTATTGTATTAATTTATTTCAATTAATGAGACTTGTCCGTGTTACATTTTACGCATAGATTGACGTAGCACTTACTTGTGATTCCATGGATGTTATCGTTAGTTATAATATAGAATTAATAGCAGCATGAAAACATTGCCTATTTGATTGTTATAAACCATGCATTTTCTGAGAGGCCATTACTATATCCAAGTGATCCAAGAGATCATCCCACCAAAATATAAATAACCAAATGATCACAGCCCAATCTTTTTGTTTTTCTTCTTCTTACTGTGATCATAGCCCAAAATGTAGAAGTCTAATGGAAAAACGAAATAAAAATATAAGCCCAAGCCAACCATACAGCTAATTTCTATCTCTCGAGCAAAGCAATTAATTTTAAGTAAAAGGGCAAACGTATCCTTCCTTGAAACGCGGGCAAGCCTCCAATTTATAATCTAAGCCGCCCTTTCCCTGGAATCTCCTTATATTAATGTGTAGATTATATTCATAAACCTCCTCACCCTTATTCACAACCAACTTATCAATTATCATTAATGCGTTGAATTATTTATTTTGTGAAGGTTCTTTTATCATATTATATTATTTTGTGTCCGTTGGTAATAGATATTATACCAAATATAAAGTAAGAATTGAAAACAAATTGTTTACCGTGTTTCCTTCTCGTCAATAATAATTGAGTAAACATAGGTTATGCATAACACAAAAATTTGGAATTGTCCACATAATATACTCTCAACATATACCATGTAGATCCATTGTATTGTATTAATATAGGAAAGAAACTCCATATACATACGTTGTTTATTATATTTATGAAAATATTTCATTTAAGAAATTCGAGCATAGATATTTCCCTTACAATCGTTAAAAAAGGTGAGATAAATTATTTGTTAGATAATTAAGTCTACAACTTGTCTACAATAAATTCACATTACATCCAATATGAAACACCTCAACAATTACAGCCAATTTGTAATTTAAATAAGGGAAAAATAGTAATCTATTAATCTAATGACAAAAACTCAAACATTTGAGCAATCAATAAACCTGCAAATTTTCCAAAATTCAACATTTGAGGATGGTTATTATTATTTTGGCATGTTTGATTAAGATTAACAATATGTTTTGTACTTTATTTTAGATTTCTAATTAGTTATCTCATATTGAAATACTCTATAAAAATTACAAATTAAGTAATCTTAGTTGCTAACACAAAACTGGATCACTTATAGATTAAAAATAAATTAATAAATTATCCGTTGTGTCGATTCTCTATGAGCAATATTTCTTTTCTCCCTAAATATATAAAAATGGGTGTCATCTTATAGAGTTTAACCAATTTAATTTTTCTATATATAGAAAATTGAAATCCGAGTTAAAACGAATTACATATGATCAATTAAAGTTCTTCACACTAATATATGGAGTTGACCTCTACTCAATCCTAATTCTATTGGGTCACCATCATGTTAATATATATTTTAATTGAAACTCATTATAATAATATTAATAATAATATTTTAATTCTTAGTTAATAGGAAAACCCCTTTTAGTATACCACCTTTTTTTGTTGTTGTAATAGATCAAACGTTTACAACTCCGAACGGAGCCAAGTGCAAAAATCAAAACATAGCACAACACTAGCTGACAATACTAGGGCCTTCCTTGCCACCAAATGGGCAACCCTATTGTTTTGCCTACCAACGAAATGCACTCTAAACCCCGGAAACATATGCCGGAAAGCGCTGACTTCCCGGAGAATTGCTCTACCCTTCGCGTCCATCACCTCCCGCGCATTCACCTTATCAATTACGACCTTTGCATCCCCCACAATCAGCAACGACTCCCATCCCCTCATTATGCACCAGTACATAGCCTCCCGAAGTGCAACCAATTCCACCACCGCCGGATCAAACGCTCTATCCAGCGCTCCCCTTTCGCCAACACGATGACTTCCGTTGCATCCTGAATAACTATCCCAAATGCAGCATGAGACCGACCACAAACAACACCATCTAAAGAACACGTCAGCTCCCCCACAGGACTCGTGGGCCCTCCCATCCCACTTTGTACCGGAGGACAAGCGGGCCTTCTAGCCCCCTCCCCTTCTAGCACCCTTTCCCACACCCGAATCTGTTGCATGAGCTATTGCCGGAGAATGGACCGGTGCACCTGCTTGAATTCGAAGACTACCCAATTCCGAGCCTTCCAAATGCACCATGGAACCGCCACTAATATGCACATCATGACCTCCGAGGTTACCCGCTCAAAGAATCGTCGAAGGAAGACCACAAAATTGGTACCATCCAGGCCGTCTGCCAATCCAAGGACCCCGCCTACCTCCCACAACTCCTGAGCCACCGAGCAAAGAAAGAAGAGATGCTCCAAAGATTCCAGCTCTGCCCAGCAAAGCGGGCAACGCCCAAGGACACCAACCTCCTTCTCAAGTAAAGCCTCCGTAGTGGGAAAAATGCAGCTAAAAAACTACCAGAGAAAGAATTTCAGCTTTGGTTGCACCTGCAGAGACCAAATGGTCTTCCGAACCTTCATATCCATCCAACTAACATCTTCTTTCCATTTAGCCCACACTACAAGAAAAATTAGCTATTGTGACTAATTCCTGGAGACAAATGTTACATTTGTCTCTATGAGTACCTTATAGATGACAATTATACAATTTGTTACCACAAGTATTATTATCTGTCTCTAAAACTATCCTTTATATGACATATTAAAAAATTGTCTCTAGAAGTATTAATATTTTTCTATAAGCATTTTTTTCTCAGAGTAACTTTAGTTTTAGAGACAGATTATTACAATTGTCATTTAAAATATTTGCATCCACAATTTAATGACCACGCATAGGAAATATTTGCACATTTCCTTTGTCTCTATAACCCATTTTTCTTGTAGTGCCACCGGCGCAATCTACGGAATGCCAGATGATATCCAGACTTGACCGTGTAATCACCAGAAGAATCCTCTGTCCATATGAGTTTGTCCTTCACCTCCAAGTGGGGCAACGGAATAACTTTCATCCGTATGACCCATTGAGAAGGGAAGCAAGCTACCAGACATTCCTCACACCATTTCCCCTCCCCAGGACAAATCAAAGCCAAAACCTTATCATGTCATGAGACGAGAGCCAAAGGCAAGAGAGGAGGAGCCTTTTGCTCCTTACCCGGCACTCACAAGGCTGAGCCTATCTCCACCTCCTCCCCCATACCCATTTGCCATTGAAGACCATATTTGAGCAAATCACACCCATGTAAAACACTCCGCCAACCCCAGGATGGGCGAGATCGAGGACCCCAGTTAGGAGGGACCCATCTGGGAAATACTTACCCTTGTAGATCCTTGCTAACAACGAGTCCGACTACTCTAAAATCCGCCATCCTACCTTTGCCAATAAGGCCTGATTGAACTCCTCAAATCGTCTGAACCCCAAGCCGCCCTCATGCTTGCTCCGACAAAGTCTTCGCCAAGACATCCAATGTATCCGCTGCGAGCCGTCCTTCGTCCTCCACCAGAAACGTGCCATCAACCGATCCAGCCGACGACACAAAGTTTTCGGCAACAGGAAACAGGACATAACATGAACCGGGAGAGCCGCCGCCACCAATTTAAGAAGGGTTTCTTTTGCCGCCCACGATAGATGACGTTGTTTCCACCCTTGGAACCTAGAAAGGAGAACCTCCTCAACGAACCTGAATGTTTCTGACTTTGATCTAGCAATCAGAGTCGGCAAACCTAGGTATTTATCCTGGACACCAATCGCACCCACTCCTGGAGCCAAAATATTCCCGCTGAAGCAAACGGCCGACTTAGCCAAATTTACCATCTGCCCACTTAACGTCTCGTACTCCCGAAGGACAGCCAGAAGAGCGTCACATTCCTGTATGGAGCCCCTCAAAAACAAATAATAATCATCTGCAAAGAACAAATGCGACACGACCGAAGCTCTAGGGCTCACACGGACCCCCGCAAGCCTCCCTTCTGAAATCGCCTTATAATCAAGGCATAAAATCATTCTGTACAGAGCACGAAAAGTAAAGGTGACAGTGGATCCCCCTGTCTTAACCCTCGTGACAATCGAAAGAAACCGGAAGGGGCCCCATTCATCATTACCTAGAAAGATGCAGAAGAGAGGCACTCCCGTATCCACCCTATCCAAACCGGGCTAAAACCAACCATTCTAAGACCGAAAGTAAGAAAGGC